CTGTGTCTCCGTCTCCAGAGGCGTCGAGGTCGTAGTGCCTCTTCCTCAGCTCCCCCAGGCGGACCCGCTCCTGCTCCAGCTGGTTCTCCAGCTGCAGCACCTTCACCTGAGAGAAGCAGAGGGAACAACCACGTCAGCTGCTCTCCACTCACTATTCAGAGCCTTTACCGAAGGAAATACCACCACACATTCAAAAAAGTCACACAGCAACAACGTTACTTAAAGTGATCATCAGGAACCTTTGGTGGACCGGTCTCTGCTGGAGTCTGAGCTGAAGGAGGTTCTGGTGAACCTGCATGATCTGGTTTTACTAGAACCCAACCAAGTGACACCGATGACATCATTAGGAAGAACTATGTAAAAACAGACCATCTTTTCTCTCATGGTCTCAATTACTGATGGAGGTCTATGTAGAGGCATAAAGTGGCAGGAGAAGAGAAACACTCAAGCTGGGAACATGTTCCTCAGATGTTCCTGTGGCGTAAATGCTTTGTGTTTCACTCCCCTACTGCGAAACAACCGTCTCACCTGAGCCTCCATCTCCTCCATCTTCAGTTTTATCAGAGACATGCCGGAGAAGTCCGTTGCACCTGTGGAGACACGGTGGGGTTAAAGCTGCTGTTGGATCGCGCGCGGCCTGCGTGGTGGGCGGAGCGTTCCCTCACCTCGGTCCGAGACCTGCTGCTGCCCGTGTTTGGTGGAGGTGACAACCACGGCCGCCATGTCGTTGACGTGGCGCGAGGCCTGCTTCAGCGCGTGCAGCTTCTTGTTGCCGCGGTCGGCCTTCACCTGAGGTCACCACCGATGACAGCGTACAGTTAAAGGATATTTAGAGAGGCACCAAGAACAACTAAAAGACATCAGACAAGGTACAGGAAGTCCGGCATTCAAACCAGATCTAAGTAGGTTAAGACCAGATCCAAGTATAAAACCAGATCTGAGTAGGTTAAGACCAGATCTGAGTATAAAACCAGATCTGAGTAGGTTGAGACCAGACCTAAGTAGGTTAAGACCAGATCTGAGTATAAAACCAGACCTTCGTATGTTGAGACCAGATCTAAGTAGGTTGAGACCAGATCTGAGTACAAAACCAGACCTGCGTATGTTGAGACCAGATCTAAGTAGGTTGAGACCAGATCTGAGTACAAAACCAGACCTGAGTAGGTTGAGACCAGATCTGAGTAAAAAACGAGACCTGAGTATGTTGAGACCAGATCTAAGTAGGTTGAGACCAGATCTGAGTATAAAACCAGACCTGCGTATGTTGAGACCAGATCTAAGTATGTTGAGACCAGATCTAAGTAGGTTGAGACCAGATCTGAGTATAAAACCAGACCTGAGTATGTTGAGACCAGATCTAAGTAGGTTGAGACCAGATCTAAGTAGGTTGAGACCAGATCTGAGTATAAAACCAGACCTGAGTATGTTGAGACCATATCGGAGTAGATTAAGACCAGAATTGAGGAGGTTAAGACCAGATCTGTAGTAAGTAGTAAGACTAAATCTAGGTAGAATAGGAGCAAATAATTTTGGTTGAACAGGTAACAACTATTAAATGTTTGTTTTTTGTAAGACAGCAGAAGCCATTATGGTAACACACAGGTAACACATGAAACCACAGCTACAGAGTCAACGGGCGTTGAGGACAACTGAAGGTACCTTGGAGGCGGCCACCAGGTGAGCCGTGCTCGCAGCGATCTCGTGAGAGCAGGCGATGAGCTCCTCGTACGTTCCCTTTTCCCCCACCACCCGGTCAGCCGAGTCCCTGACCGCACAAAGGATGTTCAGGACGCGTGGACGACACTGTGTGTGTGTGTGTGTGTGTGTGTGTGTGCGTACGTACAGCAGCTGAGTGGCGCCCCAGCCCACAGCCTTAGAGGCCGAGATGAGTCCCTCCGTCCAGCGGGAGTTTTTGGCATAAAAGTCGGTGACGGAGGCCGCTCCCTGGAGCAAAGAACGGTTATTCAAGTGTCAGTAAACGCACCGCTTTATTTGCGGTTATCACTTCATCTTGCTGTCAGATCCTCTTCTGTTCCATTCATATTTCAAGCATTTTTCAAAGAAGTTTATTTTAAACTTAGTTTTACTAATAAAATAAAAGATTTTAGTCAGTTTTGTATTTCTTATTTTTTTGGCACTTGGAATTAAGTCTGTGTTTCAAATGCTTGAAAGTGCTTTATAAATAAAGCCGCGTCACCTTTACAATTTTTTATTTAATAAGAGCGTTTGAATGATGCAGTAACTCACCCTGCCCCCCTCCACGATGTCTTTCTGCAGGTCGGTAGACGCCGTCACCAGCATGTGTACCGCCTGCAGACAAAAGGACCACAGAAGAAGAATCACCACAGTTAAAAAGAAGACCAAGAACACCAAATGAGATGTTTTCCTAAAGTAGACAGACTCTTTACCTTCATCAGGTCTGAGCAGGATCCCAGGATGCTGATGAGAAACAATAAGAGTCATCACAGAAGAACACGTTTCAAAGAAGTGCTTCCCGGAGCGATCGTCTCACCTCTGGTTGACCTCCAGCTGGACGCCAGAAGTTTCTCTCCTCGCCTGATTTAGTATCTCCTGAGAAACAGATTAAACGAGTTCAGCATCACCGTGTGTGTGTGTGTGTGTGTGTCAGTTGATCTCGGTCGAGCGTCCTCACATCCATTCGCAGTACCGCCTCTTCGATGGCAGTTGCCGTGGCGACCATCTCTTTGTCCACCATGGCTCCCAGCTCCTCTTTCAGCACATCCTGTCCTCTGGGACGGAGATCCTAAACAATCATACGTGTTCATATATTAAAGTTCACACCGGGATGTGAGGAAAGGAACTTTACTCCACTCAAGGACAGTTTATAGAGTTTTTATAAAGAAATAAAGCTTCATTTACACGGGAGATTTTAAAAAAGTAACGTAATAAATCATAAATAAGGCAGAATAATAGACTAAAAGGGTAAAACACAATATATTATGAATAATTCTCAATCTCAAGGTTAGTCGCGTGTAGTTTTTAAAATGCGTCTCACCTGTCCCAACGCGAGGATCCGCTGCACGGCGGCCCGCATGGCGGAGGGATCCGCCCCCGGTAACGTGGCCTGAAACTTCAGGTCCTTCAGGTACAGGAGGCAGCGGTTGGCACAATCCCGACAGCTGTCAATCAAACCTGCGGGACGCACAGGGTTCGTTGGGTTCATACTTCTATAGCCCCGCCCCCCCTCGGTGTGTGTGTGTGTGTGTGTGTGTGTGCGCCTCTCACGGTCGGCCTGGTCGGTGGGGGCGGAGTGAGACGTCGCCGAGCCGTTGACGATGGTGTCGGCGGCGAGGTGAGAGAACTGCGTGACGGACCTCAGCAGGCCGCTGGCGTCTGGAGATTCAACATCACAAACATCACATGTCATAAAACAACTTCCACCGTTTGTCTGCTTTATGCTCGTATGTCTAATGAATCCTCACCGCTCATGTTCCCCACGTAGACGGCGTGGCTCTGCTGCATTTTGTCGATGGCGCTCACAGTGATCTCGGCTCGATTCATCAGATAATCTGAAACACAGGGAGGGGAAGCGGTGAGAGCGACTGGATGAGGAAGCCGAGGAGAACTTTGAGCTCCTCCGGGTAGCGTCAAGGGGCAGAATAAGAGAACAACACAATCTTCCTTCTCTCCGCCCAAACAACACCGCCTGTTTACCGGGCGAGCTGATGCAGGCGACGTGCACGGGGTCGTCCAGCTTGGCCACGGCGTCCAGCACGATGCCCTCGGCCTCCACCACGGCGCACTGCAGCAGGCAGAACTGCTCCTCCTGCAGCTTCCTGGAGAGCTCTCCTTCCCGGCAGGCCTGCACACACACACACACACACACACCATCAGTCCAAGTGTACCCAAGTGTGTGTTGTGTGTGTGTGCGTGTGTGTGTGTGTGTGAGAGCCACCTGCTGCTGCAGCTGGGCGTGGAGGCTCCCCAGCTCGGCGCCGCTCCTCCGCCTCTGCTCCTCCATGGAGCTGAGGTGGAGCTGGGCTTGCTGCCGGAGGGAGGTCAGCTCCACCTCCCGCTCGCCGGCGGCGCGCAGCAGCGCCTCCCTCTCCGCCTGCAGCCCCGCCAGAGAGCTGCTCAGCTGGGTGCCGCTCTGAGGGATCGCAAAAGGGGAGAAAAGGCAGCGATGAGGTTTCCAAACCGCCCGAGGAGGCCGAGGGGGAGTGTGGATGGTTTCCCACCGTTTCTTTGCTCTGCAGGGCGCCGTTCAGGCGGTTCAACTCCGCCCGCGTGGAGTCCAGCTCTCGTCTCAGCCCGTCGATCTCCACCCTCTGCTCCGCGTTGATGCTCAGCTTTACGGAGAGGAGCGTTTCATTTGTACAGGCACAAAGGTGACACATCAAAGAAACAAAAGACATTAAATGGATTTAATAATCCATTTACGTGTTGCCGTAATTATTAGAATGTAATATTAGAGTTCTCCGGTTCGGAAGTCCCTGCTCCAGATCATCTGAGTGGTTTTTGACTGACAGCTATGAAACTGTTCATCATTTTGGATCATTTTGGTCTCCTGCAACGATCCAAAGAGCTTCAAGCCTGAACGAGCTGCTTAAATGACGATTGTGTCTCGCAGACTTCGTTCGTGTCGTACCTGCTGCTGCAGCTGAGCCCTCAGGGCCTCCAGCTCTCGGAGGAGGTGGTCCCGCTCCTGGTCCGCGGCGCCCCGCTGCTGCTGGGCCCGCCCCCTCAGCGCGTTAAGCTCCGCCTCCCTATCTGTGGCCGAGCGCAGCAGCGCGTCGCGCTCCGCCTGCAGGGCGGCCAGCACGCCGCTCAGCTGGGACCCCTCCTGAAAGAAGGCGGGACGCGGAATCCGTCCATTAGTCTACTTAGAGCGACTCCTCTGGAGGTGAAATGTCTCCTGTTTCCTTCTGTGTTCGCTTTTTACCTTTTATTCTAATGCGCTGGATAAAAACCACAGATTCCACAATTATTTATGGAGATATCTCGTAATGGGGAATGGAAACATAGATTTGGTTGTAGAGCTGAAGCTAAAGGCACAATGGCCTTTAGTCGCTGGATTTGGTCAAAATGAAAAATTAACCAGCAAAACGGTTAGAAAGACGCCTCAATCTAAAGGCCAAGAAGGGACGTAGACTTTGTCCTGGCGTCTCGTGGTTGTTGTTGTTGTTGTTGACGTCGGCCTCACCGTCACTTTGCTGTCCAGAGAGCTGCGAGCGTGAACCAGCTCCGCCCTTTGCTCCAGAAGCTCTTTGCTCAGGCGCTGCACCTCCTGCTGCTGCCGGCTCATCTGATCGGGGGGGGAAATACCTGATCAATAGGCTCAATGGTGTGTTGTGAACCAGCAGATGACACGGGGAGGGGGGGGGGGGGGGTTCTCTCACCATGTTCCTGTTCTCCTGTCGCACGTTCTCCAGCTCCTCCTCCAGCTGCTGTTTGCTCCTCAGCCACTCGTCCTGACCGTGTTTTGCAACCGAGAGCAACTTCACAGTTTCTGCGTTCTGCACAAACAACAACACGCAACATATATATATATATATATATATATATATATGCTTCTAATACTACTTAGCTTAGCATAAAGACTGGAAACAGCTAGCATGGATCTGTCTAACGGGTTCGGGTTTAGCTAAAAGCTCACGGATCAAAATGTTTTATCTGTGCAAATTGTGGTCTTACATGCTAGTTCCATTCTACCTCCAGTCTTTGTGCTAAGCTAAGCTAACTGGCTGCAGCTTCACAAGTTCTGTACAGACACAAGAGTGAGTGAACTTTGTAGTTGTGTAACTTTTCCTTTGATTTAAATATTTAAACTTGAATTGGTTCAGTTCACACTGCGGTTGGATGTTGGATGTTGGACGTGTCGGATGAACATATTTGTTTCGTATTCTCTGTCGGTGCAACTGAAATGTAGCACACGGATCCATAAAGTGTTTCTGTCTGAAAAGGGTTTTTGTACCACTTCGTGTCCCATTGGCTCCACACATTATTACCGTATTACTTCATCCAGATGTGTGTCATTTTATTACACACACACACGTGTTGAGTTCAGGGGGAAGGAAGGTTTTTGTGCCTGACCCACATTAATTAAACCGAAGCACGTCACCAAGGTGGCGTGAAGGTCGAGCTCACCTTCTTCATCAAGTCGGCGTGGCCGGTGATCAGCTCGGCGTGTCTCTCTTTGAGTTGCGTGAAGCGGATCTCTGCTGCGTGGGCTCGGCCTGCGCGCCGGATGCATGAGAAATGATGTCAGGAGCCACTGCTCGTCTTATTAAAGCGCCACTAAGCATTTAGCTTTAGTGAAATGCATCTTCGTGCTTCTCGATGAACACGTCCATGAATTAAAAGACACCCCACGTCTGTGGACTCACCGTCGGCCTCCTTGAATCCGATCTGAGCCCCCACGTTGGCCACGTTGGCGCTCCGCAGCGCCTCCACCTCCATCCGCAAGTGCTCCTTCTCCATCATGGCCGTCTGTTTGTGGGCGCGCTGCTCCTCCACCTCGGCCTCCAGCCGGTTCACCTGAGCCCTCAGCTCGGTGACGCACCTCTGGGCCTGAGGGACAGAAAACCCGCCCATCAGACACCCGGGACGTCCCGGTCGCGTGGGATCCACCCGTGCCCCCCCCCCCCACGACCCCTCCACGACCCCTCCACGACCCCCACTGGGCTCACCTCGGTCTTGATGAGCTGCAGCTCAGGTCTGAGCGCCTCCAGCTCCCTCTTCATGTTCTGCTCCACCTCAGATGAGCCCGTCTGGCGGAGCAGGTGGTGCTGCCGCGGGGACGACAGCGTTAGCCGGCGGGGGCCGCCACGAGGGCGGGAAAGAGGCGGAGTCTGTTTGTGCGTTTTACCTGCGGCGTCTGCGTGTCTTGTCTGAACTCGGGCTGCGTCTCCACGTCCTCTTCGTCGTGGCGCTGCTCGGCCTCCATCACCACCACCGGCTTCTTGTACTCGCCCCACGCCGCCGCGCGGAGGAAGTTGGGAGGAGCCTGTGGATAAATAAATATATTTATTTATTTATTTTATGTCACTTCTTCCTTCTACTGAACTACATCTTAGTGCAGTTTGTATATAATATATATAACACAGTTTAACATTAGTTTTTGTTAAATCCAAATATTCAACATTTTAAACATGTTGGCAAATATTTACTTGTTTTGTCATTTTTAAGGAAAAAACAGCTTTTAAAATGTGCAGATTTTCTGCTTTTCTAGAAATGTAATTACATGTAAATGTAAATGTATTGACGTTAATAAAGTTATGTTATTAGTAATAATGCTGATGTATTCGTAATAATAAGAAACATTGTGAAAGTGTCACTTTGTGACTCGATTGTGAAGCCATTTCTTCTCTTTTTCAACAAGTTTACAAACCAAACAATCGATCGATTAATGGAGAAGATACTCGGCGTATCGGTACTTAATTAACTTAATGTCGTACACACACGATGTACATGTGGAAGCGTAGACTCACATCGGGGAGGTCCGGGATCTGGATGATGCTCTTGAAGAACTCGGTTTCTCTGGCTCGGTCGAAGAACTGAGCGAGGCTGAAGAAAGGAAACGAGACGTCACCACGACAACCGATGGAAACGAGACGTCACCACGACAACCGATGAGAAAGCAAGAGCGTGATGATGCCAGAAGAGAACGCCGAGGACAAACCTGTTGAATAAGTCACGGAACCGCTCTCGATGTCCGAGAAGAACATCCGGAGCGATGCCTGTTTTTATTTAATGAAATATACACAAATTAAATAACAACAATTGTACTTCACACAAGAGAAGAAACTGGAAAGTTATTTCCAAAGAAGTAAAGAATAACACATTCAAATGAGGACATAAACAATGTCGGGAGGTAAATGACAGAATCACAGCACAGAATTCCAGTAGTGGAGGGCGGACGGACGGAAAGGGAGGCTTCCTGCAGCGAGCGGACTCACGGCTGTGCAGCTTGAACATCAGCAGCACGGAGAAGTGGTAGAGGAAGCTGCAGTCCAGGATCAGCGGGATCAGAGGGGTCAGGCGGCACTGCCCGGCCGGGCTGCTGGACTTCGCTCCGTTGGCGTCCAGCTGACGCAGGACTTTGAGAGAGAACGACACCCGATCAAAGACGTCCCCAGACCCCCGTCCGCCGCTCTGCCCTTGTATGAAAGCAGAGAACACCAAGAGGAGCTCACCCGTCTCCTGCATCTTCAGCCCGCCCTCCCAGTAATCCATCAGCTCCTGCACCAGATCCAGCCTGCAAACGCGTCAAGAGCCACATTCACGAAGAGGATCGCTGGACAGTGAATGCTGCGCGGCGGATATCAGGACGGGAGACGTACAGTTTGGTGACGTCGTTCCCCGCCTCCCTCTCCAGGGTCTCGTCGCTGGCCTCCAGGCTGCCTGCGACCGCCTTGTGCTGAGGAGTCACTTTAAGAATCATCATCCCCACATCGATGCGCGAGCCATGAAACACAAACGATCACCCGGTACCTTGGCGTGAAATTCCATCTTGAGGCAGAGGAACTTGGCCGACAGCGCGACGATGTGGCCGTATCGGTCGTGCAAGTTTCCCTGCAATAAAATAAAGCCATTTATTTATTTTACACTACAAATTAAACGAGTCCTCTTGAAGGACCATCCTTTCATTTATAGTATAAATCATTTAATACGGAAGATTATTTTCCAGTTGGGAAAGTCATATTTTTATCAGTTTAATATTTAGAATGTTTCTACTTCTGGTACTTCTACTCACCCAGAGAACCCCCATGTCCCTGACATTCCTGCAGTATCGGTGAGAATCCCGCACCGTCTGAGGATGGAACCGAGAGGACGGAGATTAGAGGAGGGAGGAGACACAGAGAGGAGGGAGGAGACACAGAGAGGAGGGAGGTAGAGAGGAGGAAGGAGACACAGAGAGGAGGGAGGAGACGCAGAGAGGAAGGAGGACACACAGAGAGGAGGGAGGAGACACAGAGAGGAGGGAGGAGACGGAGAGGAGGAAGGAGGCAGAGAGGAGGAAGGAGACACAGAGAGGAGGGAGGAGACACAGAGAGGAAGAAGGAGACAGAGAGGAGGAAGGAGACACATAGAGGAGGGAGGAGACACAGAGAGGAGGAAGGAGACACATAGAGGAGGGAGGAGACACAGAGAGGAGGAAGGAGACACATAGAGGAGGGAGGAGACACAGAGAGGAGGAAGGAGACACATAGAGGAGGGAGGAGACACAGAGAGGAAGGAGGACACACAGAGAGGAGGGAGGAGACACAGAGAGGAGGGAGGAGACACAGAGAGCAAGGAGACAGAGAGGAGGAAGGAGACACAGAGAGCAAGGAGACAGAGAGGAGGGAGGAGACACAGAGAGCAAGGAGACAGAGAGGAGGGAGACAGAGAGGAGGGAGGAGACACAGAGAACAAGGAGACAGAGAGGAGGAAGGAGACACAGAGAGCAAGGAGACACAGAGGAGGAAGGAGACACAGAGAGCAAGGAGACAGAGAGGAGGGAGGAGACACAGAGAGCAAGGAGACAGAGAGGAGGAAGGAGACAGAGAGGAGGGAGGAGACACAGAGAACAAGGAGACAGAGAGGAGGAAGGAGACACAGAGAGCAAGGAGACAGAGAGGAGGAAGGAGACACAGAGAGCAAGGAGACACAGACAGGAAGGAGACAGAGAGGAGGAAGGAGACAGAGAGGAGGGAGGAGACACAGAGAACAAGGAGACAGAGAGGAGGAAGGAGACAGAGAGGAGGAAGGAGACACAGAGAGCAAGGAGACACAGACAGGAAGGAGACAGAGAGGAGGAAGGAGACAGAGAGGAGGGAGGAGACACAGAGAACAAGGAGACAGAGAGGAGGAAGGAGACAGAGAGGAGGAAGGAGACAGAGAGGAGGAAGGAGACAGAGAGGAGGAAAAAGACACAGAAAGGAAGGAGACAGAGAGGAGGAAGGAGACAGAGAGAGGAAGGAGACACAGAGAGGAAGGAGACAGAAAGGAGGAAGGAGGACACACAGAGAGGAAGGAGACAGAAAGGAGGAAGGAGGACACACAGAGAGGAAGGAGACACAGAGAGGAAGGAGAACACACAGAGAGGAAGGAGCCAGAGAGAGGAAGGAGACACAGAGAGGAAGGAGACAGAAAGGAGGAAGGAGGACACACAGAGAGGAAGGAGACAGAAAGGAGGAAGGAGAACACACAGAGAGGAAGGAGACACAGAGAGGAAGGAGGACACACAGAGAGGAAGGAGCCAGAGAGAGGAAGGAGGACACACAGAGAGGAAGGAGACAGAAAGGAGGAAGGAGGAGACACATCGCGGGAGGACGAGGTTCCGGCTGGCGCTCACGTTTCGGTGTCCGTCCCGGAGCACTTTGTGCAGCAGGTAGCAGAACTTCCAGCTGATGATGGAGTTGCTGGACAGAGGCAGGTTGAGGACGTAGGACCAGAAGGTGGTGGCTCCGCCCTCCTTGTGCGTCCCCACGATGATGTCGCCACAGCCGTCAAGGCACAAACTGGGTGTGATACTTTGATCACGTTGGTTTCACGTCTAATGAAGGAACCGTTTATCTGAACCTCGCCCTCAGGAGGACGGAGCGCGCCGACGTTCACGTCCCCCAGAGGACGAATCCTCACGGTTCTTAAAGAGAGATTCATATTCTTGTTCACTTTCCAACGGACTGTCGTGACATTTCTGATGGACAATCAAGGTTCCCAGAGGTTGAACCATATTCAAATTGTTGATTCTCTGATTTCATCTTTCGTTCTCCCGTGAGATTCATATTCGTATTTCGGAGTGAAATATCTTTCCAACAAACATTCGTGGTTTCCAGAGGATGCGCCTCAATTGACTCGGGGTCCTCTGACTTTCCCCTCAGATGCTTTATGTAATTGATAAGTTAAACGTAAAAGGATACTGCGCACATATTTCTCTTTCGGAGGCGCTTCACCGGAAACGAGAGTTTTACTGATGCTGTGAAGCTGAAAGAAAAGAGACAAACAAAAACACTTGGCAACAAACAACAAGAAAAGGAAAACATTTCCACCTAAATACCAACTTCAAACGTTAGTTTTTTGTCGGTTTAAGCTTCACATTCGCTGTTCTGGTTCAGTAATCGTCACCAAAAAGTTCCCAACGAGGACGTCACATAGGAGACGAGCCGCATATCTTCTCCTCCCTCCTGCAGTCGGATTTCATCAGTAATCCATCAGACTCACCTGTTGTTTCCCAAACTGCTCTTTCTCTGCTGCCAACGCTTTCTCCGTCTTGTTGTCGCTTTTGTTCTTGGTTTTGCTCATTTTGTCTGGGATCCACTCGGAGGCCTCCGGGTTCCGCTGCGCTCTCCTTCCTCTGTGAGGTAACGAGTGTCCAAAGACGTCCTGAAACGCTCCGTCTTCAGATCGCTTCTTCTGATTAAAACCCCGCAGTGTTTCTTAAAGAAACCAAGCTGGCACGCGGGTAAAAAAAAAAAAAAGGCCGCTTCCGCTGCCGCGTAAAAGGAAACTCGTCAAAATCAGTGCAATTATTCCCCGGCAATAAAACACCAACGAAAGGTTTTGGCATATAAATGTATTTTTAATTAAAAGTAGTGAGCAGGCTATAAAATGTCGGAGCTACGAGCAGCCACGGACGCGTCCTCTGGAGCCACCGAGTCATCTGCGGGCGGAGGAACTGGAAAGACGGCAGACGGAGCAGCAGGCGGCCCCGTAGGACCGGTTTCAGTCCCACCCAGTCTACATCACGCGCATGGACTACGAACACAATGCAGAGCCATCAAATAAAAACACAGCATCACCGAGGGCTTTGAGAGGCGCATCACCGCTGATCACCAGTAGCCGAGTATTCATCACACGCTTACTAGTAGAGCACATGAACTCACTTTGATCAATACTGACGATAACCTTTAAACATGCAGCCCTCCAGCGAGTGTCGAGGAGCCGCGTGTCTTCAGACGGTCTGACGGGAGGAAAAAAAAAGACATCAGTTAAGTCTTAACACACCTGAACTAAACTACACCCGCGATGCCACACCTCACCAACAGAAACCGGCGCCGTGCAACTCCTCCACCGAGGGCGGCTGGGGGGGGCGGAGGTGGTGGAGGAGGAGGAGGGGCGGCGCCTGGCACTTATGAGGGTACAGGGGGTCCGTGGCCCCACAGCTCACAGCGGGGACCCCGGGGCCGTGCACGGAGCTGCAGCAGCTTGTTGGACCCGCGAGCCGCCTGGACTCGTCCAACAGCTGCTGCAGAGAACAGCTGCAGAGCGGATCGTCTCCCTGGAGGAGGTGGAGGGGGGTCAGATGATCACATGGAGCTACAAGGAATGGGTTTACGTTTAGTTATTGGTGCACGATGAGAAGCTTGATAGCTTAGCTTAGCATGCAGGTTGTTTAAGCTCCTGCTTGATCACTAGTATTTCATCTCAACCCGCACAGATACAGTAACACTCGCATCCGCCGGGGTGATTTGACACAACTGTGTTCCTGTCTCACGTCAATGGAGCGCGAAGAGAAGACCCCCGGGTCACCGTCCGCCGCGCCCTGCTGGCTGGCCGCCGGCGGAGAGGCGGCGTCCCCCAAACGTCTGGAGTTCTCGGCTCTGAGCGAGCGGCCGTCCGGGCAGACGCTCCTCCGCCCGTCCTGACTGAGACACACAGAGCAAAACGGCTGGAGACCGTCTCACGAGGAGGGTCACAGGGGTCACAGGTCACCTGTACCGACTACATGAGGACCAACGCATGAAGGACCTCAGCCACACATATTTAACAAGAAACACAGGAAAGCCTTATTTTGTTCTTTTAAAACAGTGTCCACATATTGAATATTTTGCCAAGAAGGCGTGCTGGTCGACTGCTGCTACGATGATTGGTTAGATTGTGTTGTGTGCGTGCGTGTGCGTGTGTGTGTACGCTGCTCACCTGTCAGGTAACAGCCGGCCGCTCTTCTTCCACAGAGCTCCGCGGGCGTTTTCCAGGTTCGTCTGCAGAAGCTGCAGGTCGCTCCGCTGATTCTCACACACCTGGGCACGCATCCATCACAACATTCAATTTAATAGTCAATGAACAACTGGACAGGAATCCAAAGTAAACACATTTAGAAATACATGCAAAATTCATTTTTATATGTATTTGTATATTTAATGGCAGCCGAATTGTCGTAATAAAAAAATGCATCTAGACGATAAAAAAAAACTCTTATTGTGATTTAAGACACTTTAAACACTGAAAGAGACTGAAAGAAAAGAGAAATAAAAAAGTAGAAAGTGCCTCAACAAGACTAAAGGAGCCTAGAGGAGAACAAAGGAGACTAAAGGAGACTAACGGAGACTAAAGGAGACTAACAGGGACTAAAGGAGACTAAAGGAGACTAACAGGGACTAAAGGAGACCAGCGGAGGAATGCTGGGGAACCAGAAAGACGACTCAGGAATGAGGAAATGACGAAGTCCCTGAACTGTAATCCAACAACGGGAGTTTCTCTTCCAGAAAAGCTTTCCTGTGAAGGGGGGACGCTTGTTGTCCGGGGGACGCCGTACCTGCCGGAGGCAGCGAAGCTCCGAGGCGGCGCGCTCCTGTTTGGAGCGAGCCAGTTCCAGCAGCTCGTCCCTCCAGCCGTCTCCCTCCCCTGGAGACAAACATCACTGCTCATCTCAGCCGGATCAGAAACATTCTGTCGCGACTCTCACTAGAATTATCCTGGTTTTATTTTACGCTAAATAATTCCTTTAAATATACAGAGAATAATTGAAATTAAAATATTAATTAAATTAAAAAGTGGCAGTGAAATAACAGCAGTAAACAATAAAAAACAAAGATGTGGATAGACATGGATAAAGTCCCAGTTACCCGAGCAGGCCAGGTCTCTGTGCAGCAGCTGCAGCTCCTGTTTGAGGCGGATGATCTCCTCCCTCTGGCTGCTGCTCTGTGTCACCTGCTGCTGCAGCTCCTCTGCAGGACACGACACCAGTAACTGTATGCATGTAGGCAGCGGACACCATGACAAGCTTCAAGCTTCAGAAACAGGGTGCAATGTTGAGAAGGACCAGGGGGGCGAAGGGGGTCCTTCGCTTTGTACCTTTGAGGTGCGTGACCTCGCGTCTGGACTCTTTGCAGCGGCGTTTGTTCTCCTCCGAGTCTCTCAGCAGTTCACTTTCCCGCGAGCTACTTTCTGTCACCGTCGTCTCCAGATCTCGCAGGCGCGCCGTCAGGTCGTCCACGTGGCCAGAGGCCTCGGTCACATCTTTGTCCTGGAGGGAGGGGGCGTATATCCCATTGACCAACGCGCTGGAGATCTCAACCCATACAAGATACAACACTATCGTATATCCCTGGGAGACACAGAAGTGACATCACCTTGAGTTTGAGCATGGAGCTCAGCTCCTCCTCCCTGACCTGCAGGGAGCCGACCTTAGTGGACAAAGCCATGAGCGTGGAGCTCAGACTCTGGTTCTTCTCCTAAGAGACACCACAGACCCGTTAACCTAAAAGCAGCATGAGCCAGCATGAACGTGTAGTTATGCGTCAATCGTGCCTCAAAGTCTTGACATTGTTGGCTGATGTTCTGCTGTTTGTGCTCCAGCTCACAGAGCTTCTGTTGGGTCGCGCTGAGCTCCTTCTGGACCTCCTCCTTCCTGCTCTCCACACCCCACACGCGCTTAGTCAGGACTCTGATCACCTCGTTGCGTTTCTGCAGCTCCTCTGCACCGACGGTAATAAAAAAACACAATCTAGAAACAGTAAAAGAGGATCCGTATCAAATCAAAGAAGGCGTCCTGGCGTCCTCACCGTCCAAGCGGGCACACCGCTGCTCCAGGGAGAGCACCTTCTGGCGGTCTCGCTCCCAGGCGTGGAGCTGCCTGTGATGGGAGGCCGCCATGGCGTTCAGCTCCCGGTCCCGGTCCTTCAGCTCGGCCATCAGCAGCTGGAGCTCCCTCCTCAGCCGCTGCACGGCGGAGCCGCTCGGGTCGATCACGGGGAACTGTTTGTTTTGCAAAGCACACAGCACGAATTACCGCAGTGGCCCCGAGATGCTTTACACACGAGGGAACCGGGGGTCCTGAATGTGACCCCACCTCGGTGACCTGCGAGCCGCACAGGGGGGCGGCCGGGATGGGAGGCGTGTTCACGGCCCACCGCGGGGCCACGTTGTCGACCTTGAAGCCGCTGGGGGCCGCCGGCTGGCTGGCATCCAGTGAAGCACCAGCATTCTGCTGTGAAAGTGCCAGATCACCAATCAGACACCGTGGAGGCCTTTTCTGTGTTTAACCTTGTTCATGGTTTATAAGCGTTGTCGGGGGCAAACGTCACCGACCTTTTTAACTGGAGTGCTGTGCCACAACACGGCGGAAGCGTCTGAAAGACAGCGTGGAAGTTGGGTTCAAGTTGTAGATTTTGGTCAACACAATGATGTGTGTGTGTGTGTGTGTGTGTGTGTGTGTTTACCATTGGACCAGGGGAACCCGGCTGAGGCTCCTCCACCCGATGGGGACAATCTTCTCCCTTCCTCCATCACATCACATCACAGCAGCTACCAGCTGATATTACGCCACATTCCTTGGTGTTTTCTCCTCCAGTGGTCTTATGTTAGGGTCATGTACGTGACTTCATCTTTTGGGGGGGCATGCTAGTCAGCTAGCGTTAGCTTAAGTTAGTGAGGCCAAAGTTAACACAATAATTAACGGAATCGATGCAAAATAAGGGTCAAGAAGTTAACTGTTGTGTGAATAAACCGCGCGTTTCAAAACCACATTTAAATACCGTTAGCAGAATGTATATTTGTATGTATATTTGTAGCGTTATTGTTATTTCGAAAATGGCTTGCTAGCTAGCGTTAGCTTCTGAGCTACTTTAACTTTTGTGGGAGAACGAGGATTGGGCGATGACGTCACTCAAACGTACGCCCATTTGTTTTTTCAACATTATTTTTATTTAAAGCCAAGTTAGTATTATGCGTGTCTTCTATAACTTATTTCCTGGATATATGGAAGTATAATTAGTTAAATAAATGATTTTGTTACTTCCGCACATCATGGTTTAAAACATAAAAACCACAACCTGCCATCACATTATTTTCTCCCAAAATGAATTATATTAAGTCAGTAATCAGTTAATCCCGCACTCGTCTGTAATGGACGTTTATATCACTTGATTTGGAACATGTTCCATCTAACGGGTGAGGGTCGCGCGTTCGCCCTCCGGCCGCCGGGAGGCGCTGCTGCGCATCGGCGCTGCGCATCCGCCTACTTTCACAAGTAAAACAAGAAGCGCCACTAGGCGTGCTAAAAGTACGCCAACTAAACCCAGTTCAAAGAGAATGGTTTTCTAAAAGTCCAACCAACCTCAATAATAATGCGAGCGGATTCACAGACGAGGCATCAATTCTAAGAGTATATTTCGCAGGGTACGTAACTCAGCCCGTCTTCTCCCGGTCACTCGGGTTGTTTTTAACGGCGCAGTCCGTGCAGTTCGTTAGCTTGATTAGCTTTGTTTAGCATGCTAAGCTAAAGCCCCACTAAACTGGTGCTGACGGTGACAGCTGGGTGAGTCAACGGTTACCTGACGAATGAAGCGACTCAAACTAATCTCGGGGTATATTTACATCACGGCACAGTTTGTCTCCACCGTTGTAGTGTGATTGTAACTGTTATATCCAAGTCATACACATTACAAAAGGTATTTGTAGCTAAGCGATGTAATTAATATAACAGCCGCATGTGTTAGCCAGCTAAAGCTAGCTGACTTCTTCTGATGCTACCAAGCCAACTGTTAACTGCCCTGCTGCTGTTGTGCCTTAAATTAGCTCCCATCCTGCAAGCTAATTTCAGGTCCCACAAGTCTGTGTCATGCTGTTAGCTCCTGCAACTGATCTGTGCTAGCATGATGAAATATTGCTTGATAGTGTGACACATTTGAAGACGTATTGTTACCCGTCATTAGGTTTAAGTTAATGTTTGAGGATGAATGAAAGTGCTGAAGTTATTTGGTAGTATTTACTTCAATCTACAGAAATAAAGGAACATTTACTCATATTTATATATTAAAAACCTTATTTTAACATTAAAGACATCACTAACTATTAGACAAAAAAACCTTAAACAAATTGTAGCTCATAAAATTGTACTTCTCTATAGCAAGTTGTAGATCGGCTTATTTGATTAGATTGCACTTTCTTGAAGAAACAAGAAAGCGGATTCTTGTTCTTTTGCATCTGTGTCCTTATGGTTGAATGCACTTAATGTAAGTCGCTTTGGATAAAAGCATCAGCTAAATGACACGTAATGTAAATATGATTTTAAATTATATGATTTTGTCATGACTGAGATGATGCAGAAGATTGTCTTACAATACATTATATTAAATTCCTCAATGTGCACCATGGAACCATCTCCATCTAATATGCGTCTCCAGTGTTTTCTGCAGGTTTTTCCTTTTTTAAATGTTCCTGTTTCTATTCATCTACTCTGCATACAATTCAAGGTGTTTTTTTCTGTCTTTTTGCAGATCGTTTGTGATGGCTACTACTGAGATGGAATCTGGTTCTGTGGAAAGCAAACCAGAACATCGGACATATCACTCTGACTCAAAGTACCCGCTGAAAGTACTTTACTGTGGAGGTACAGTGTGTAACTTTAGTTTGGCATCTTATCACACCGTCCTCATTGTCTTTTAACTGTCTTTTAACTCTGATATACTTTTCATTTCATGTCTTTTAAAGATGTGTTCTTCTTTTGCAGTGTGCTCTCTTCCTACGGAGGTAAGTTTTAGGACTAAATCATCTGCAAATGTATCATTTGTGATATCAGATTACACTTTATTGGCCAACGATTTAGACGCTTTAAACTCAACATGTAAAATACAGAAATTCATCCAGCTAAAACAAGGACGACAAAACAAACAAACACACGCGTTCTTCATACACCAGTCAAACTGTATATTTACGCTACTAGTTCTGGAGTGACTGATTCCTCTCTGTTGCGTCTGCAGTACTGTGAGTACATGCCTGAGCCAGCTAAATGTAGGCACTGGCTTGAGAAGAACTTCCCAGATGTGTTTGCCACGATGACTGTAGGTGAGTTCCTTTTTTTTTTAAGCTTTTTTAACCTCTCAAGTCTGCATGTGGTCATTTTGACATTGAGTCAACAAAAGGTCATAAATGATTTTACTCCACATTTATTGTCAGTGTTGACGCTGTTATTCTGCCATGTGATGTTTAATGAGTGAAATATTAAACCCACCTGGAGCATAAAAGAGAGAGAAGTTATTCAGAAGAATGCAAATTATCTGTTGGACTCCGAGCCTACAAACTCCGTTTAATGTATTCAGAATGAGAACCGTCCTCATAATGAGGTCAAATCCTCCCGGGTCAAAGGTCAGTAGTGACCTCTTCCTGAAAGGAAAAGCCAGCAGCGCTCTGCGGGACCACCGGTCTCTTGTCCAAAAGGTAGGAAGCGCGCTGGTTTTGTTGGTTTTGATATTTTTTCCCCTTGTCCCTCTGAACCACAGGCCCGGCAGCGAACGCCCCCAAACAGGATCTCAGCGCCGGAGAAGCGCCTCCTGCTGGCGAGGAGGAGGAGAAAAAGAAACAGAAGAGAGGTACGCTGACAAATGTTTTATCTTTAGCAGGCTGATTATATTGTTCCTGTTGTGGATTGTTACGCTGCCTTGTTCCTGTTGTGACCCCTAAATGTCAAAGCTGGTAGATTTGGATATTCTATTATCCATGTTTGATTTAATGAAAATAACTGCGCTGCTGTCGTGTTGTTGGACGTCTCCAAAGACTTGTTGATTTTTGTTGTTTTTATCTTCTCAAGGTGGCAGAGGACAGATCAAACAGAAAAAGAAGACTCTTCCTCAGAAAGTCACAATAGCAAAAATCCCAAGAGCCAAGAAAAAATATGTGACCAGAGTGTGCGGCATGGCGACATTTGGTGAGCGCTGTTTCCTGTTTTTATTGTTCCCCGACTCTTTCAGGTGCTTTGTTCTCTGACCTGCATCCTACGGGGACTCTTTGCAGACATCGAACTTAAAGAAGCTCAGCGGTTCTTCGCCCAGAAATTCTCCTGTGGTGCCTCAGTGACAGCGGAGGATGAAATAATCATTCAGGGAGATTTCACAGACGACATCATCGACGTCATTCAAGAGAAGTGGCCCGAGGTGAGCCGACTGACGTCTCGGGGTCACTTTGCACCCGCTGTGACCTTCTGTGTCTGCACAGTTTAGAACAACCTGAGATGGTGGGCCGGAATAATTTAATCCACAAAATTTGTGAAAAGCCCTTTGATTTAGTTTTTACTAAGCGAGCGAATGTGTTGGACACATTCTTGGTATTTGTGAGGATCGTCTCGGCTCTGAACTTGTCGCGTGTCTGTTTCAGGTGGACGATGAAAGCATCGAAGATCTCGGTGAAGTCAAGAAGTGAAGACCAAATATGCACTTTTACTGAAACGGATGTGACCTGTAACGACGACAACCTGGCCAAATGTACACATTACGTCATTTTATACCTATTTTATTTACTGTTCATAAAAAGCTGCGGACTCTGCCACTCACTTGGCTTCATTTTTCCTTTTTTTCCCCTTTTGGTTATTATAATAGCTGCTTTCTCTCGCTTGCCAAAGGTGGTATGACATGAAACCTCCCAAATGTTCTTCACTCAAACAGAAACTGTAGGCTAATAAATTTCAGTCTCCTTCGCCTGTACGCTCTTCTTTCCCACTTTGTTTTTCTTTTGTGTCTATTTAAAACCAAAAAAGAACCGTTTAAAGAGCACAGAGGATGAAGTCACCTGCTTTATCTGAGTCACTTAACTGCCGCAGGTTGCTTGTTTTCCAGCCCCCCCGAGTGAACCTTGTCCCCTGCATAATAGTTTTATAATGAAGCCGTGCTCCCCGGGCGTATAACGTTTACAGTTGTTTCCACGCTCCTCTGGGTCATCCCGGCCTCCCTGGAGATAACCGATGTTTGCCCGGGGATCCTTCTGCATGAACGCAAACACCAGCCGGCGGCTCGGGAAGATGAACCTCTCGGCGGCGGACCGGTGCTGCGCCTTCGAGGCGCCCGTCCTGAACCGGTTTCTGCCCCCCGTCCTCATCCTGGAGTTCATGTTCGGGCTGATGGGCAACGTGGTGGCGCTGTGGATGTTCGTCTTCCACATGGACTCCTGGCAGCCCAACGCCGTGTACCTGACCCACCTGGCCGTGGCCGACTCCGTGGTGCTGTTCTGCCTGCCCTTCCGCGCCGACTACTACCGGCGGGGGCAGGACTGGCTGTACGGCGACGTTCCGTGCCGCGTGCTGCTCTTCCTGCTGGCGGCCAACCGCGCGGCGGGAATCTTCTTCCTCACGGCCGTCGCCGTCGACCGGTACCTGAAGATCGTCCACCCGGGGAACCGGATCAACCGCATGGGTCTGGGCTACGCCCTCTGGGTCTCGCTCGGCCTCTGGGGTCTGATTTTTCTGGCCACCGGGTACCTCCTGGCCAACGAGCACTTCTTCTACAACGGCAACCGCACTCAGTGTGAGAGCTTCAACATCTGCATGGGCTTCAGCCCGCTCTCCACCTGGCACAACGCCTTCTACGTCCTCCAGTTCTTCCTGCCCACCGCCATCGTGGCCTTCTGCACCACCCGGATCGCGTGGCAGCTCAGGGTCCGAACGCTGGACAAGAAGGGGAAGATCAAGCGGGCCGTTCAGTTCGTGGCGGCCGTGGCTCTGATTTTCATCACCTGCTTCTTCCCCAGCACCGTCTCGCGCATCGCCGTGTGGATCCTCAAGGTGTGGTACGACGAATGCAGGTACTTCGAGGAGGCCAACCTGGCCTTCTACACCTCTGTGTGCTTCACCTACTTCAACAGCGTCCTCAACCCGGTGGTGTACTACTTCTCCAGCCCGGCCTTCAGCGGCACCTTCAACAAGCTGCTGAATAAGCTGCTGCGGCGGCGTGGAGACGGCACGCAGACGGGTGCGACGGAGGACGGGGTCGTCACCGTCGATGGCGGACGGGATTAAAGATGCCGGTTCTCTAATTAATGCTGGAGGCACGTTAAAGGTCTGGGTTCTGATAACGTTAATATTATCCCAGTTTAGAGCTATAATAGAATGCATGTTCGGCTTTAATTGTCCACACAATTACCAACCTTAAATAATAATTAGCAGCTGTGTACTTGTAAACAGCGAACACAAACCCATGGGAGGGTTTTTAATTAGAGCAATTATTTTGAGAAAGAAAGAAAAGGGAGTTTTAAAATGCGCTGTGAATAATCCAATGTATCAGTTAAGTGTTTATTGTGTTGTACAGTTTAGTTCTTATACTTTAAATAGTCAATCACTCATAATCTGCTAACAAGTTGACTGATTTCAACATAAATATTATTCGAACAGCCAGAGGGAAGTTTAAAAGGTAGAGAAGATGCAAGTGATTCCAACAAGTCCGCGTGTGTAGATATTTTTGCACATTCCCAATATTTGTATCCTGTGAAGTTGTTTTCAGCAAATAAATATTGCAATAACCAACACCGTTACATACTCCTGTTTGCCTTATTTTTATTTAGCTAATGTAATAACACCAAACCTTGTAGAGGGGAAAAGCATAAAATGTAGTGACATAAAAGATCAAAGTGGAAAAGGACGATGCAAAGTAGTTCCCAAAAAATCTTGTTACATTTCAAATGAAGTATTATTCCGCTTATACAAGAGGTATATTTACTTCTTAAATTGGAAGTCTTGATAGCATATTTTTCTTTGAAATAATTCCTTAATTAATGGCAGTCATTATTTTGTGATACTAATACATTATTTGCAATACAAACTCGTTCACCTGGTTTAACAAAACATTTGTGTGAAACATCGTCAATAACTCGTTAAAATACACATTAGTTTTGCTTTATATCTTCTTTTGTGCTACAAAGTCATTGCTTTGAGATACAAACTCAAAAAAACTTTTTCCATAATTTGAGTTCTTACCGAAGTCGTATTTCATGAATCCTCAGATGTCCGAGCCCTCAGCCCGGTCCGTGGAGGCATCATTTATTCCCAAGGTGACGTCATGCTGGGGCTGGGCTGGGAGAGGAAGGGAAACATGTAAACTTAACGGTTTAAAGAGAGACTCTTCAACCGCAACGACGTCCTCCAGCCGGGCTCAGTTCACCAGCGGACACCGAGTGAGCTTCCGCAGCAACCCGTTACACAAATGTCCGCTTCAATGTAGCTTCAATATCAGGTACATTTTATTATTTTACGTTAGCCCCGGTTTATGTTTAACATGCTAATCTGAAAGCTAGCTAGCCAGCTTTGTCAGTTGGGGCGCATTCCAACAGGGACCTAAAAGCTCTAGACACTAACATTCAGCGCAATGTTCAATGGCTGAGACTCTCTGGCCGACAGCGCGTCGAGGTAAAAGTAACCTGCTGTTTCAACACGAACGCGTGGGGGGCTGTGAAGGAAACGTGTTCCCACAGAAGTTGGTGGGCGCGGGAGACGCAGCGAGTAGAATGAAGCCCGTCTCAGACTCAGTCACCCCGGGTCAGACTCCGCGTCTACGGGCCGCATTCACCAACCAGCAGCAACGACGAGTACCCGCGATGGTCAGTGTGTGGTTACTGGGAGAGGCTGGCGATGAGTGGGACGCAGCCGTGGGCGGGAATGAGGATTTGACAGCTCGGGTGTGCTTGTTGTTTTGGTCTGGCGCTGCCGGTTGGGCGGGGCGGAGCAGGCGCTGAGGTAATGTTCCAGCCAGACGACGCATCTCGTGTTACCTGCGCATTTGCAAAGGAACTGCAACCCTCTTTTTTTTATCTTTCCCCACATATCACAACACTACAAACAGTGTTCAAATATGCAGATGGAGAAATGAAGATATAAAGATAAAACATCCTTTTGACATTTTAGGCTCTCCACATCTGTACTTATACCCCACTAGAGATACTCTTCCTTCTGAATATGAATGTAGTATAAGTATTGATTGTTCCCTGTCAGTGGTTTCCTATTAGCTCTGATCTGTCTGCTGCACGAGTCTCCTTCATATCCTGGTGGTTCAGTTTAATCATCAAACATCAAAGCATCACATCCTATAAGAGCATCGTGTTTGTCTCCGTCCTTATTGAACCGACTCCCGTTTTCAACATTGTGACGATGCATCATCTGATTTTATGACGTTTATTGAGCTGAAGAATCAGGTGGATTTTCTCACACTCCAAAAACAACACTCTTCTTATTGCATACCAAACGAGAGCGGAGACGTGTAGCTTCCATGTGGCGACTTATGAGGAAATAAGTAGAAACATTTTATTTTTCAATTTTATAACGACAACTTTGAGAGTCCAACGTAGAAGCACAAACCCGGTCTGCAGGTCACGTTGTTCCTCGTCTGTCCGCATTTAACTAAACTCAAATTGACTAAGGAACATGAGCAGACGGGTTGATTGACAGAGAACCCACCTCAAGGCCCTCATCACTTCAGGTGACATTGTGCTTTTTAATTCTGCATATTTCTAAAAATTCGATGAACCTCAAAGCAACGTGTCATGGTTTAAATGCATATTGGGTAGACAGAAGTTGAACGCTCATCAAAGTCTGTTCACAGGTCCTGTCAAGTACTGTTGCATTATGGGAAAGAAAGTCTGAGAGCTTTTCCTGGATTTGGGCCGTTAGGTCTACAGGTTAGAAAATGAGAGCAGCAGTGATCTCTGTAGCCCACTGGGACTACGGCGATGCTGCGTGTGGCTGAGCTGCACTGTGGGTAATGTAGTTCCTGTGTTTTGACAGGGAGCGAACGGCTCCTGTGTTGCCGGGGAACCAAATGCTTCACACGGCCTTTAGAGCGTGACACCTAATATCTGTCGTGACCTAGTTCTGCTCAGAGAGAACCTTCTGCTTCATGGATAAAATGGCGTCGTGGTCACACCTCCACGGGTCAGGAGACGTGATCCACCTCACTGCATCACTCTATTTGATGAGGGACATTTGTCTTTTGTGACATTTACAGTAGAAACGAGACAAGTGAGAGCGTAAAAACATCAGCTGGGCATCACATTTATTACCTGTGTGATGGTAAAGAGTGTACAGAAAAATGATCTATTTACATTATTTATTTTGTGTTTTTTTACCGTAAATTGAGGTTAATTTTGCAGGTTTAAATAAGTATTTTTTTGTTTTAGAAATAATAATAATAAAAATAGCTGAACCGTTGAAGCAAAAGGAGTGAAAATATTGATCTGTATCTCACCTTTATATTTTTTTTGCGTATATATGCAATACGGCATTTTTAAATGCCATATTGTGATATATATTTAAATAACAATTCATTGATTAATCAGAAAAATAGCTATCCATTCGACTCCCAAAAATACTTGATTTATTTATTTTTGTTCTCAGTTCACTTCCATCACATTGGGACTTAATGGGGCGGTGGGGAAGGCCTAGCCCCCCACCTTGATCAGGCCAGAGCCCCCCCTCCGGAACCCCAACGCAGGAGCCATGAGTACATCAGGGAAGGTCAGCGGGCTCAAACCCCCGAGCAAAATAGTCCGTCCGTCTGGGGGGTCGTCCAAGACGTCCCCGTCCTCCGGTAAGAAATCATCAAGAGACGAGTGAATGAAGGAATATGAGCCGATAAGAAAAGGAAATGTGGAGCTTTTAAATGTCAGTATGTTGACTGTTAGTACTTTAGTGAGTTACTACTTTAGTAGGTAGTACTTTAGAGTAACAACAGAAATGCATTTGTACAGTAATACACTCAAATATTTTATATGGAAGCTGTTTTTGGATTCAGGGACAGTAGCTGCCGTGTAAGACAAAAGACCGGCGTAGTGGTGACGAGTGTCCACAGCGTTTCCTCTCGTGGTCTAGTTGCCATGACAACAGTAGCGTTCGATTGTGCTCGCAGGTGCCCCGAGGCCGGTTCCTCCCGAGAACCCCCCCGGCCAGGCCGCCTCCCCGACCCAGGACGGGAGCGCCGACTTCCAGCCGGGCGAGCGGGTCTGGGTCAACGGCAGCAAGCCCGGCCAGGTGCGCTTCGTGGGGGCCACGCAGTTCGCCCCGGGGCAGTGGGCGGGCGTCGTGCTCGACGAGCTCATCGGGAAGAACGACGGGTCCGTGGCGGGGGTCCGCTACTTCCAGTGCGAGGACGGGAAGGGGATATTCACGCGGCCCTCCAAGCTGTCCAAGACCGCGCTCCCGGAGACGGAGGCCAACGGGGGCCGCGCCAGTCCGGGGGGGGAGGGGGCGGAGGGGGCCCCCGTTACGAGCGAGCCCGCGCCCGCCGGCGCCATCTGTGCAGGTGACAATCAGCTGATCTTTGGACAGATGTAGCGTGTGTTTCCTCTGCGTCACTCCCCTCCTCCTCCTCCTCCTCTCTCAGCGGCGGGGAGCGGCATGAAGACGAGCGCCGCTCTGAACCGAATGCTCACGTCCAGCGAGTCGGTGTCCAACGTCTCCGACACGGAGTCCATGAAGAAGAAGCGGGAGCTGAGGCTGGGAGACCGCGTGCTGGTGCGAGTCGTCACTACTGAATCTACGACGGGGGGGGGGGGAGGTCGTTAAAGCTGAACGAAGGGTTTGTTCTTCCCACGTCCAGGTGGGCGGTAACAAGGCCGGCGTGGTGCGCTTCCTCGGGGAGACGGACTTCGCAAAGGGAGGCTGGTGCGGCGTGGAGCTGGACGAACCGCTCGGCAAGAACGACGGCGCCGTGGCGGGGACCAGGTGAAGGCCCGAGGACGCCGGCACGCGGCTTTGCTCCGCCTTCACTCGCCTGCAGAGGAAACGGTCCCACCCACCTGTCCCGTGTGGTTCCCCCTCGCAGGTACTTCCAGTGCACGTCCCGGTACGGCCTGTTCGCTCCCGCCCACAAGGTGACGCGCATCGGCTTCCCGTGCACCACGCCGACCAAGGCCAAGAGCTCGCGGAGGATGTCGGCCCTCAAGAGGAGCCCCAGCGCCTCCTCCATCAGCTCGCTCAGCTCCGCCACCTCCTCCATCAGCGGCAAGCCCAGCCGGGCGGGACTGGTGAGGCCTCACGCCAGCCCGCGCTGGAGGTGTGTGTGTGTGCTTCAGTGGTCTCACTTCCCTTCGCTCTCGTCTTCCCAGCTGACGGAGACGTCCGCTCGCTACGCCCGCAAGATCTCCGGCACCACGGCGCTGCAGGAGGCGCTGAAGGAGAAGCAGCAGCACATCGAGCAGCTGCTGGCGGAGCGAGACCTGGAGAGGTGCGAGGTGGCGAAGGCCACGAGCCACGCGGGGGAGGTGCAGCAGGAGATGGTCCTGCTGAGGAAAGGACGCGATCAGGTCCGACGCTTCTTTTCTTTTAAAGGCAAACGATCACAAACCTGAAGGAGACTCGCCAGAGATTCTAAACCGGGTCAGCGAGGAGCTTTCTGTTGAGGAGATGAAACTGTAAACTCTTTCCTGAGGTTGTGGGAAGCATTTTAAATTATTTTTTTTGGCAGCTCCTCGCCCGTTTGCGTTGTCTTTTTGTCCTCCGGATGTGTGACCTGTCTCCATGTCGTTTTGTGCGTCGTGGTCCCTTCGTGTGTTCACAGTACGCGGTGGAGATGGAGGAGAAGTTGGATCAGCTGCGCTCGCTGGTGGAGGCGGCCGATCGGGACAAAGTGGAGCTGCTCAACCAGCTGGAGGAGGAGAAGAGGTGAAGCCGACTGGCCGCCTGCAGCACCCGGCTGTGAGTGGAGACAACGGGCCTGATGCTGTGCTTTATGTCCAACATGTTCTAAGGAGGGTGGAGGACCTGCAGTTCAGTGTGGAGGAGGCCTGCATCACCAGAGGAGACCTGGAGGTAAGTCTCGGCCTTATGATCCGGCGCCACATTAGACATGATTCCAGACATCCGTCTCCCTCGCTTATGAAGCTCGGTGTGGATTATGTGGAATAACTTTACGTTGTAGTGCTGATGTTCACAGTTTGAGCCCCTCTGGTTGGATTTCTGTTCTTTTCTTTCTCGCCCTTTTGGCACTAAATCTTTGAGCTGCTGCTTTGCATTTTCCTCAAAGAACGGATGATCCAGTCAATCATTCAGCTCGGGTTCTTCATTGAATCTTTCATTGGCTCTCCCGTTCAGACTTTCTTCCCCTCATTCATTCATTCATGTCTAATTCACCCCCCCACGCACCTTCACCACTAACACGGCCTCTCGTCATCTTTTCATCTGCTCTAGACATGCTCTCATCTTCCCCTTCTAGTCTGCATCTTCCTCACTCGTCAGAGGAAATGAGCTCCTGAGTTGGAAATAGGAGCAAGAGAAGCGAGGAATCTGAGAGTGCGAATGAGAGGACTTGAAGTAACGAACTCGGTGCAGAATGAGCACAACTAACTGGTCCAACTGGACCGTCGCCTCTCTTCTCCTGTCTGAAGCTCTCAGCATGTGGTCGGTGTGGTTTGGTGTTGTTCTCCTTTCTCCTCCTTGCTCTTCTCTTACTAACAGACGCAGAGCAGACTGGAGCATGCCCACATTAAGGAGCTCGAGCAGAGCCTGCTCTTTGAAAAGACCAAAGCTGAAAAACTCCAGAGGGATTTAGAGGACACTAGGGTAATGCTGGCAGAGCCCCCCACCTCCCCCCATCCAGACTGTGCTTTCTCAACAATGACACACAATACATCGAAGGAGCAAACTGGCAAATGATCAGACTCATCTCATAGCTTGGTCCAGAGTTAACTGCTCACACAACCACAATATATATAATATATATAATTACACATCCTTCATGCATGTGTGCACGAATGTTTCTTTATTTTAAACAAGATTCGGCAAATGCTTGTGCTTTTGGAGACGTTGGACCTTTTTTTTCTTCTTCCTTCTATCCTGTGAAACGTTAGTTTGTCTTCCGATCAGGACGGTGATCCATAAAAAGTTAATAAAGGCCGAGTCCTACGACTAGTTTGGTCCAGAACCAATGCTAGTCTTTATTGCTTTCAGTCCTTTTTAAACAGTTGGATCTCCAACAATCCAATGATCGAGTTAAAGACTAGACATCCGGGATCCGCCCCCCCCCCCCCGCAGGTGGCCACGGTGTCGGAGCGCTCCAGGATCATGGAGCTGGAGAGGGAGGTGGCCGACCTCCAGCTCCGGCTGCGGGCGTCCCAGCAGAAGGAGGACGCGGCGTCCCTGTCCCAGCAGCAGATCAGCCGGCTGAAGGCCCAGGCTCAGGCTCAGGAGAAGAAGGTGACACCATTTGGTTCGTGTGGTTTGTTGGAGCTGCCGCGGCCGTCGCGTCACTCACGGCGTGCCCCCCCCCCCCTCCCCCCCGTGAACAGATCAGCGAGCTGAGCGTGGACGCAGAGAGCCGGCAGAAGGAGCTCCAGTCCGCGCAGCGCGAGAAGAACTCGCTGGAACAGCAGCTGACCGAGCTGGTGAGGAGAAAAGATGCTCTGGACGCGTGTCGTGTTTGTGAGAATTCAGGGGTTCATTTCTCTCCTCTTCTCCGCTTTCAGAGACTGAAGCTGGAGGCCGCCGAGGAGGAGGGCGGCCGGACGGCGAGGACCACGAGAGGTTAGACGCACCCGGAGCAGCTCACCCCGTACCCCCCCGGTGTAAAGATGACTGACGATGTCGTCCTTGTGCTTCCCGTCAGAGCTGCAGCAGAGCGTCGAGCGGTCGAAGAGCGACGTCCAGGCGCTGAGAGAGGAGAGTCGGATCAGAGCGGAGCAGCTGCTGCAGGTACCTCATCTACACCAATACCCACAATACTGAGGTACTGGTGCTTTGACCTGCACCTCCTCCTCTACATCGCTACTCTTTACTGCACTACATCTCAGAGGTACACGTTGTACCTTTTACTCCAATACATTTGTTTGACAGCTTTAGTTTTTGAATACAGCTGTGGCCTTTGAAGAAGAGAGAGCTGACCGACATTAGAGGAGTTAAAAACATCCACAGCGGTAAAATGCAGCGCACACATTAACGCAGCAGTGACGTTAATCCAGAAACATCAGATATAATATTAAAACATTTTACCGCACAATAAATACTCTTCATACTATAAAGAAATGTGTGTTTTCCCGTTGTTGTATCCTCCTCATTAAATAATCCTCCAGTCTGCTTCCCTTCCGAGTTGCTGCAGCTCTTTGGCCACAGGCACAGTGTATTTTAGGTTGTTGAGACATTACTAACACACGCATGCACACTTTCTTATACGCACCAGTCTGCTTCTTTGTGTTAATTCAAGCTTTACAGATTCACAGTCAGCTGTTTGCCTTGATGATGCGTTCAAATACCGTTCCCACCATTGGAACAAAAAAAAGCTTTATAATCAGAGTAAAATATAATGTGTGGAAGGATTACATTATTCAGAATAAGCAGTAGTGAAGTACGTGAAATACGCAGAGTATCACAACTGAGTAGAAATACTCTGTTACAAGCTGTAACAAGTACTGCATCTAAAACTTGAGTACATGCACAGTATAAGTATTAGCATCAAAGTTTACTTTATGTAGTAATCCTGCAAAATATTTATCATATTGTTATTATATATTTAGATAATGTTTTGTGTTAGTAATCCAAATCTGTAAGTAATTAAAAGCCTCCACTGAAAAAAGTAGATATATTTGAAGTATAATTATTACAATATTTCCCTCTGAGATGTAGTATAGTAAATAGTAAAAGTAGATACATGCAAACAATAATAATACTCAGGTAAAGTATTTGAGTAAACTTGATTAATTGTATCTGAATGTATCATTGATGTGAATCATTGAAGACACAAATTATTCACCTTACAGAGTAACAGATTTTAATGTTTATTCGATCAGGTTCAGCAGGGACGTAAATAAAGCCTCTGCCGGCTTTAACGTTCTCCTGTAATGTGTGACGAGATGTTCCCTGAAGTTAAAGCTCTCTGCTCTCGCTTCGCTGGGTTACTAATGGAAGCGGTGGAGCTCCGGGCCGCCTCGGCTCCTTTCTGATGACCTTTCATCTTTCCGGTCTATTAATGGCGTGCTGTCTTTTTTTTTTACCTAATAATATATTTCAGAACCTTTTCCGACCTAACATCTCTTTTGAAAATTTTTTTCCCCAAATATTTTTGACTTGTTTTTCCCATGACATTTCTTTTTCAATTTCTTTTGACTTTTTTGGGAAACTTTTTTGACCTGATATTTTTTGACTTTTTTTCAAAATGTTATTCGACATAACATTTTGACTTTTCCACAACATTTATCAATCCAACATTTTTTGACTTTTTTTCAAAACATTACAACTTTTTTTAAAAACTTTTTTTGACCTAATTTTTTTGACTTTTTTTTAAAACAATTTTTCGACATATTTTTTTGTTTTTTTTCCCATGACATTTTTGACCTAACATATTTATTTATTTCACTTTTTATAAACATTTTTTTCACATAATGTATTTTGTTTTCCAGCTTATTTATGCTGCCCCTGAGTGGACAAATATCAGCAAATACAGTTTTAAATTGATGTAACATAAAATAAGAAGCACTTGAGGAATGAAAGGTGGGGATGATTCTGGAGATGAGAGTCAATTGGTTGTTGACCACACATTTTGTTGTTTATTCTGTGAACACAAAATAATTATAAAAAATTCTGAGTGTTGAAAGAACATTGTTATTTGTGACTAAACCACGTGGAGCTGATCGATATAAACTCCTTTGTTTTTTCCAGGCTAAAGAAAAGTCTGAAAGGACGTCCCTCTCGCTCGAAAAGCTGACCAATGAGAAGGAGACGCTGGAGACGCAGGTGAGCAGAAGGCCTCCACAGTGAAATATGGGTCATTCAAGTTGTATTTCATTCTGGTGGAGGCCAGGTGATCGTCGCCTCCACGTTTGTAGCTTTTCCTTTAAATATTTCTTAAACTGCTCAAACTGCTGTCCTGCAGTTACCAGCTGTTTGTGGGCTCCAGATGTTCGTTGTCGCGGCAACAAGATGCGTGGCCCTTTTCTCTTTGAGGGAGTTCTTTTCGGCACCATCGCACTGAACTGAATGTTGAAACAATCGGTAAAGATGTGAAATGTTTCTGCAGCTTCACTAAAGCGAAAGAACAAGAGTTATGTCTCTCATTGTGATTTATTCAACATCTGCTTCTCCTCCGCGCTCAGCCGTGTTGGTGGAGGCTGTGATGTAAGGCTGTGTGTGTGTGTGTGTGTGTGTGGACACAACATTGCCTCGGTTGGCTGGAGCTCGGCCTCTTCTGTCTTGTGTTGTCACACATCTGTTGTCTGTCTGTGTGGGAACCGATTGATTGTTTGAACGGTTTTGTGAATGTCATTATTGTTTTAAAGCCTTTATGAGACGGCGCAGATAGATGACAAGGAAACGTCATCATGACGAAGGAAGAAATGCTGCTTCCAGCTCCTCAGTGGAGGTTTTTATTTGCTGTTTTTTCTTTATTTCTGTTGATGGTAAACCGGATTCTGGGTTATTGTTATTTCTTGGTAGAGTGGAATAAATGGAACATAAACCTGGTTATTTTTTTATTATTTAAATTATATATAGTTTATTTTTTTTATTCATTCTTATTTTGTTGTTGTTGTCAGTGTAAATAGAATATCATTGGGTTTGAGTAATGGTCAACAAATTGATCTCCCATTGATCGACCATTAAAGAAATAAAAAACGTTTCTGAACAAGTGTTTAATCGGTAAAACAACAGACCTATTAATTAATGAAAATTGATGACTGCATGTAAGACGTTGACGTAACATGTAGTCTATCTAGTGTAGTCTTGAAGTCTCTCTTGTGTAGTATATCTTGTGTAGTCTATCTAGGGTAGTCTTGTAGTCTATATTGTGTAGTCTATCTTGTGTAGTCTATCTAGGGTAGTCTTGTAGTCTATCTTGTGTAGTCTTGAAGTCTATCTTGTGTAGTATATCTTGTGTAGTCTATCTAGGGTAGTCTTGTAGTCTATCTAGTGTAGTCTTGAAGTCTATCTTGTGTAGTCTATCTAGGGTAGTCTTGTAGTCTATCTTGTGTAGTCTTGAAGTCTATCTTGTGTAGTATATCTTGTGTAGTCCATCTTGTGTAGTCTTGAAGTCTATCTTGTGTAGTCTATCTAGGGTAGTCTTGTAGTCTATCTTGTGTAGTCTATCTAGGGTAGTCTTGTAGTCTATCTAGTGTAGTCTTGAAGTCTATCTTGTGTAGTATATCTTGTGTAGTCTATCTTGTGTAGTCTTGAAGTCTATCTTGTGTAGTATATCTTGTGTAGTCTATCTTGTGTAGTCTTGAAGTCTATCTTGTGTAGTATATCTTGTGTAGTCTATCTAGGGTAGTCTTGTAGTCTATCTTGTGTAGTCTATCTAGGGTAGTCTTGTAGTCTATCTTGTGTAGTCTATCTAGGGTAGTCTTGTAGTCTATCTTGTGTAGTCTTGTAGTCTATCTAGTGTACTCTGTAATCATATTTGGTATCAGAGAGTCTTTATCGGACCTCGTGCTGTGAAACCCTTTGAATGAAAGTGGAACCTTAGAGAGGAGTGTGTACATATGCTGGTGGGAAGTGGGAGTGGTGGTGGAGAGATCTCTTTCTGCGTTGTTTTTCCATAATCCAACCCCCGATCGAGAGAGAGATCTCGCACACCCTTCCGCCTGCGTGTTCGGTGGGATAGCAGAGCTGATGGTTGTTCTCTGCCCATCTGATTTAGTCCGTGCGTGTGATGCTCTCGACGGGGGGGGCGGCTGGGGGGGGGCCGTCATAGCTTTAACAGTGGCGAGCTGTGCAGGTATGGACGTAGCCGCTCTGCATCAGGGTTACTCCAGTAACATCTACCCGCCTCCCTACCAGGTAGGACGCTGTGTGCTTCAGAGGAGGAGCTGTTCGTCGATCTTTAATTATCTCTCATTAATGACTGTTATTGGCGCCTGGTGTGGAATTCTGGGACGTGTCCTTTGCACGGGCGACGATCCCGTTCTGCATGTGGGTGTTGTTGGAGGACCAGAGCTCCTCTCGGAGCTGCAGATCACCTCTGTGGGGCTAAAAAGTCAGAAACTGTCCTCTGAAAACACGGCGAGGAAACGTGCAGATGTGCAAAGGGAAACAGGCTGCACACTGATTTTATCCCATCTGAAGCCAGCTGTGGAAAACGCATTGATTTAAAAGTAGCTCATCATTGACTGCTGCTATTTCAACTCTACTGAGCCAGTTAGAGGCTTCATTTTTAATCTCCACATCTGGACCAAATGAATGAGACTTAAAGTTAAGGAGGTGATGTCTTTGGGGCTTTTATTTTTAGTTTGCGGTGGATTGATCTCATTCGGCTCTTTGCCGACTCACCAAGAACTTTTACGAATGAGCTGAGGCTCAGTGATGTGTGAGAGATGTTCAATGATGTCGAATATGTTCATGGTCAGTTGATTTGCCGACTGAGAAGTAGTATGAGTGAAGTACGTTTTAGGTTTAAGTGTTTCTAGTCTTTATCACAGACATCTTGAACGGAGGGAGCGTGAGATGCAACAAAAGCTCTTTGATTGGACCCGAACCAGGAACGCTTCCTCGCTGCCTTTTAACCCCTGAAGCACCAGCAGTCTGATAGTTGATTAGTCCTTTGAAGAAATATTCGCAAAGTCAAACATTTGCTGGTTCCACCTTTTGTAAAATGAAGATTCGCTGCCTCTCTTTATCTTATGCAACAACATTTGATGTCTTTTGGGTTTTGAGTCAGAAATCGTCCAACTTCTCCGAGAACCGATGCAACATATTGATATAATTTATCATTCTATTGTGTTCATGGCTCAAACAAGAATACATTAAATCAACATAGTAATCCTTAAAGAAAAGTCACTTCTGACCTGAGCGTGTGTGTGTGTGTGCGTGTGCGTGCGTGTGTGTGTGCGTGCGTCTCCAGCTGGAGGCTTTGAAGCAGCAGAGCTCCAGATACCAGGAGGAGCGGAGTGTGTCCGAGGAGAGTCATCGGCTTGAGGTCCTCTGCAAAGAAATGTGAGTCCTCACCAAACTAATGTGATCCTACAGTGTGTCTCCTGTGAAGGTGACACGCACACAGACACACACACACACTGCCGTGGTGGATCTGTCCATCTGATTAAAACGTGCTGACTCAACGGCATCTTATTGAAGTGCACATATAAAAAGAATGTGTCATAGAAGGCTCTCCGCCATGAATCCCATGAATGGTTTGTGTGAAGTGTGATTGTGATCATGGATGTGACGGACGCACAATAAGCACAAAATGTTCTAGATCTTTGAGGTCACATTGACCGAAGATGTCCTGGCCTCCTTTTCTATTGACCAGTGTAGATTGGGGGCACGCATCGACTGGAAGCAAATGAAAATATATCTCTATATATATATATAGTTATGATCTATACTCCATGCTTTTATAGGACTTTGTTGGGTTTGTGTTGAATCTCCATCCAGATATCTGTGTGTGTGTGTGTGTGTGTGTGTGTGTGAGAGCCGTATGTGGTGTCTGTACGTCATCCCGCCACACCTCCCCTGACTCATCAGAGCCCCGAGCTGTGACATCACAGCTCCAGATGGATCTAATTGGCTGAATTTCAGACATCAGTGTGTGTGGCGACCTGACGGAGGAGCGGGAGGCGGAGATGTCCACGAGTCTCCTTGGTGACGATGTAACGGGCAAAGTGAACAGTTTAGACTTTTAAACCTACAAAGAGGAATCCCGCTTAAAACATCTGAGGCTCTCTGTCTCCTCTCCTCAAAGCCTCCCTCCCTCCTTCCTCCCTCCCTCCTCTCTCTTTCCTCCTCCATCCGTCCTCCATCCTTCCTCTGCCTGCTGCTGTTATGCAATCGCTCCGTCCGTCCTCCTAGGACCGCCTGGCTCCAACATGGCGGCTCCTTTCCCTATTGTGTGTGTGTGTGTGTGTTTGTGTGTGCGTGTGTGATCAATGTGACCTTTGTGCGTCTCAGCAGCTCAGATGTGTTTTATGTTGTTTATGACGTCACTGTGGGTCAAATCCTGGTTAGTTTGTCTGTTGAAATTAGATGTTAATATTTTTAAAAATATAATTAATTTCATCCTGAAATGTACATGAACAAGTTTCACAGCAACAACTTCCTGACGTTGTGGAGATGTTTGCCTCATAAATGCTTCTGGAACAAAGTGGATGCAAACCAATCAGATTCCTCCGGAATCACGAGGCGTTTTCCTTCTGAGCTCCACCTTCATGGAGCTAATTTAAATGTCCATAAATATCTGGATCCTAAATTCCCCGACAGGCCAGTGTGCGTGTGACTGTGATGGTGTGCTAGTGATGGTGTGCATGTGATGGTGTGCTTGTGATCGTGTGCATGTGATGGTGTGCATGTGATGGTGTGCATGTGATGGTGTGCTTGTGATGGTGTGCATGTGATGGTGTGCATGTGATGGTGTGCATGTGATGGTGTGCTTGTGATGGTGTGCATGTGATGGTGTGCGTGTGATGGTGTGCATGTGATGGTGTGCGTGTGCATGTGATGGTGTGCATGTGATGGTGTGCATGTGAGGGCTTTGAGATGCTTCAGACGATCCAGACCAGCAGACGGGTTTCACGCTGTGAGGATTAATTATATCGGTAGAAAGTCTCTTTGCTTCAAACTGATCTCACTGCTTTTACAAAAATAAATTTCATTTGATAAATCTCAAAGAAATCTTTTTTTTTCAGAAGTCATTTTTTGCTGTAAAGGGGCTGCAATTAATATTTAAATACCTGTTATGTGAAAGCGTTATGAAGTGTTTCTGCAGCTTATTTTTAGACGGTTTCATCCCTTTTCATTGGATACAAAGTTAAAGTAGGTTTGCGATCAGTTAATGCTGATAATTATCTTAATGAATTAATAAATTATTTGTTCCGTCTATAAAAGACTGCAGATCGTCATTTCACAGAGCGACCCGCGGCTCAGGATCAGATCTGAAAAACAACTCTGTGTTTGTGTCCCGTGGGGACGTCGGCCAGATGTCAACACATCTGTGTGCACAGATCCATCCGAAGCTTCTGCCTTCAGGTGTAACGTTTCCTCTTTCTCTCCCCTCAGCGAGGAGCTCAACACCTCCCAGAAGTCTCCGCCCCTCGACGAGGTACCAAGCTTCACGAAAACGATCATTATTATTATTGTTATTATTATTGTTATTACACAAACAAGCTTGTTTACCTTCGTCCCGCTGAAGAGTTTCAGGTTTGATTGATTCTGGCAAAGCGAGGATTTACCTCCTGCTGGGACGGAAGATCACACGGCTTTAGCTTCTATTTAAATACCTGTGTGTGTGTGTGTGTGTGTGTGTGTGTGTGTGTGTGTGTGTGTGTGTGTGTGTGTGTGTGTGTGTGTGTGTGTGTTCACAGCACACTGAGGACCGTCCCAGTGAGCAGCCGGACATGAAGACCCGGTGAGTGAAGAGTTTATTGATTTCTTTTTTTCTCAAACAAACGTTTCTAAAAGTTGCTCCGTGTGTTTGTTTGATCCTGTTTCATTCTGTTTATAAGTCTTATTTGTGACGAACGAGAGGGTTTTTTAATCTTCTCACATTTCTGAACTCGTTACCGGAGGACGAGAACCTGAATGTGATGTTTTACAGTAAACTAAAGGTAAAAAGCCTTCATAGTAAGGTAGCGTGTGTACAGCTAGTGATGCTTTCCAATCAAGGACACGTGACTGTTTATGGAAGCGCTGCTAACTGAACCGTCCTCCCCCAGAGGGAGCGTCTGCGGCCCGGCCACCGACCGGGGAGCAAACTCCCAGAGATCCACCGGAGACAAAGACCAGGAGCTGGAGTCTCTGAGGAAGGAGGTGCTCACAGCCAACCATGTCCTCCTCCTCCTCCTCCTCCTCCTCTTCCTCCCCCGCTGGTATCTGACCGCTCGGTTTGATCCGCCGCAGATCGCCGTGCTGCGAGGAGAGAGCGCCGTGGCCAAGACGCTGCAGGCGGCCGTGGAGGCGCTGGAGGGAGACAAGGCCAGGCTGCGGAGCCGCGTCCACGGCCTGGAGCAAAGGCTCATGGGAACGCGGGCGTCGGAGGGAGGAGACCGGGAGGCTCCGCCCTCGGGTGAGGAGGCGAGGATCGACCTCTTCCTCAGCGATGCCTCCGCGGGCGATGCGGCTATGGAGCAGCTGAGGGAGGAGAAGGAGTTCGCCGAGGGGCAGGTAAGAATTCCTCCTCTTCCTCCTCCTCCTCCTCCTCCGGGAATGAGCGATGGCTGATCCGTGTCTCCTCCCGCAGATCAACTTCCTGAACAGCGTGATCGTGGACCTCCAGCGGAAGAACGAGGAGCTGAAGGTCAAACTGAAGAAGCTCGCGCTGGCCGAGTTCAACGGCACCGACGGCGCCGACGGGTAAGAAGTGTTTTCATTTGGTGACTTTCGGGGTGGATCCCGGATGTGAGTATTTGTACGAGGGGCCCCAGAGGAGGAGGAGCTCCTCCCCCACACTGAGCCCCTCCCCCTCTCTGCGCCTCCCACAGCTCGCACGAGGGCGCGTCCAAGCAGGCGGAGAAGAAGGCCACGCCGCGCCTCTTCTGCGACATCTGCGACCGCTTCGACCTCCACGACACGGAGGACTGTCCCACGCAGGCGCAGAGCCCCGACGCCGTCCCCCACACCGCCTACCACGGCAAGCGGGCCGACGAGAGGCCCTACTGCGACATCTGCGAGGCCTTCGGCCACGCCACCGAGTCCTGCAACGACGACCAGACCTTCTAGGAGCAACACTCCTCCCTCTTCTCCACTACTCCCCCTTTTCTCTCTCTCTCTCTCTCCGTCCGGCTCCCCGTCCCGTCCAGAGTTCCTCCATATTGTATTTTTCTACTGTATTTATGCACATCACTGGTGGCCACTGACCCGCGTCCGCTCCCCCTGCAGCTCTCACATAAACTGTAACGCCTCCAAATATGCTGCTTCGGTGCAATATTGGCGTTCGTAGGAACGAGGGAAAAGGCGATGCGTCCTCTGCACTCGTCGTTTTGTATCGTTTTGTTTCTTAGAAAATAACAAGTGTATTTGTTAGTTATTAAAGCACAGTGGAAACTCGTTAGCGCCCCTGCAGGCGTCAGAGTGTTAGAGCCACGACAAGTGAGACGCACACATCATTCATAAATCAGACTAAACAGTTCATACGGTATGTAGTAGGGTAGAAATCAAAGTTAATGATGCTGTTTTTGGAGACAAACTTTAACAATAACTACATTTCTTGTACAATATTTCTGTGTTTAGTTTAAATAATTTATGCAAAAAAACTGCATGACTTTTAAATGTGTTGTTTTATCATTTCTCAACAGTCAATACATTCACGTTTAATATTGTACTCACTATTAAAATTGCATCCTTTTAATTATATTATAATTATGACAGCTCAAAATATTTACTGCCATAACTTTTCTCTCAATATAACAACTTTATTCTCTAAAGGTTCTTTAAATATTCCAACTTAGTTGTTGAAATACAATGACTGTATTCTCGTAATATCACAGCTTTATTAGATATTATATTGACCTTTTCTTATTGGCCCTGACACTCCTGACCAGCCTCAAGCTTCGTTTTTGGGTAACGTGAAACTTTACGTAATTTCTGTCTCGACTTTGGAAATTGTAGCTTCCAAGTTTCCGCCTTTAGGCCGCATCTCAGTGTACTGCTCAGTGTACTGCTCAGTGTACTGCTCAGTGTGTACTGCTCAGTGTACTGCTCAGTGTGTACTGCTCAGTGTGTACTGCTCAGTGTGTACTGCTCAGTGTGTACTGCTCAGTGTGTACTGCTCAGTGTGTACTGCTCAGTGTGTACTGCTCAGTGTACTGCTCAGTGTGTACTGCTCAGTGTGTACTGCTCAGTGTGCTGCTCAGTGTGTACTTCTACACACTCAATTAGATTCTTCCTGTGGGGACGGCTGCAGCAGGAAGTACTTCCGCCTCGTGTTACAGGATAAAGACTCCCCGGATACAAACGACAGAAGCCTCGACTGACTCAGTCCCGCACTTTCCACTTTAAAAGATTCAGCAGTAAAACAAACTACGGTGATTTTTAAGAGCGAACGCTTCACGTTTTGGGAAAAATGCGTTTTACCGTTTGAGAGGACGGAGCACGTGCACTTTAATCGTAAACAATTTCTCGCAAAACAAAGTTGTAAGAAAAACCATTTGAAGTCCGGAAGGAGCCGATGAAGTTCCTCGTGTGATGTCACTTGAGTCAACGTCGGTTGAAGAATTAAAGTTTACTAACCGCTAGCGTAACATGTACCCACATCTCCCGTCAGGGTCCAGTTGCATTGTGGGTAACGTGGGCAAAGGTTGTAAGCAGAGTGCGTTCAGTATAAGGACTTTGTATTCTAATCTCTGCGTATTAACACTAATAAATCTACAGATTAGTCCTTTAAGTGATGTCGTCCCTCAGGAAGCTCACGAGCGTGTTTCCTCAGACGTGGAACTCGCCCTTTGACCTACAGCGAACATTTGACCTCCTTGTAAGCACAACATCTGGATCATATTGAATCCTGTGGTGTATTATGTGACTAACCACTGACACGAGTCTTTGTAAATACTAATCAGAGCTTCCTTCTGCTCGATGTGTCCACGCTGCCGTGAGACGAAAAGCTTTCTGTGCACATTTTATTTTTCTGCAACGTTGATAAGGAAAAAAAACCCATTTGTAAAGACTTTAAAACATTGTGTACTTTATAAGTGGTGCGTCTAATTATGTGTGTAACGTTTTATATAAATGTAACCGTTTCAGGCGCCGTCAACAAACGGCTGCAGGACTGTTTTACAGATGTTGACGTGGTGTGAAATGTTTTGTATGTACCGAATACTCCTGAACAGTCCAATAGAAATACTAAGAAACCAGCTTGTGTGTGTGTGTGTGTGTGTAGAGATATTAGTACACGTATATATTTACGTCTCTGCGTGCGTCGAAACACAAAACAACAACTTTTGTGAATTTTATTAAGAAAACAAAAACCATTGGACATGATAAAAACCAAGCACTACTGATGGAATAAATAAGTCAAACCAAACCATAAATCTGTACAAGTTCTAAAGTGAAACAAAATGGTCCCAAGGAAAAAAACATTTTATATCTCACAGCTCTTTTTTTTTTGTTTTTTTTGAACACAGTTATGAGCAAACTATAAGCAATCGGCTCAATCAGGTGAAAGCTACAGAACAGAAGTGAGATTCTCTTCTTTTGAGTGTACGTAATGCTTCTTCTAGCGGTTAATGTCGATACGATAGCATTTTAAGTTCCAGCGCTGCTGGACTGGGAATGAGGTATATGCTAATCCATCCTCGGCACCGAGACCTCCGCTCTCTCCGTCCACGCGATAAAATCTGATCAAGTAATCGGACGGCGTGAAATATTCCTGGAAAGCCCCGGTTTGTGTCATGAAGTCATTGGTTTGCTGCGATTCGAACGACTTCCGCCAATGAATCGCCAGTGGATGGTAATGAGCTAACATGGGTGAGGTCGTACATTAGAGGTCACAGGTCTGAATCCACACACATATGTGCATATACACATGCATGTATGTGTGCACACACAGGACACCGGGAGCTTGATGCCGTGTGTGGATTCAGCCAGCAGACAGCACCTTGAAGGAGGATCAGAACCACCGGACCCGTCTGTGGTGGAGAAGTAGTGGAAACCGGCCTAGCGGTTCTACTGGAGGAGGGGGGGGCAATAAAAAGCCCCCGAAGTAGAAACGAGCCGGCGAGGGGAGCTTTGAAAAGTCCAGAAGATTAAAGGTTTTCCTCTCGGTAGTGTTCAGTCCAGTCTCCAAGTCGTTTTAAAAAGGGATCGCTCCGCAGGGGGGGTGGAGAGTGGGGGGGGCTTTTATGATGGTTCAGTAAATGACGCTACAGTCAGAGGATTGTTAGCTTAGCATCATGTCAGAAACAACTAATGACCATGTTATTTTGAAAGAATCGGTCCCCATGTAAAGAAACGACGTGTCAGACCAAACGAACCCATGACGTCATCGTCGTGTCACTCGATCCGCCCGCCAGCACCGATTAGAGCAACATGTAGTTGTACGCGTGTGTTGTAGTGGTACAAAAGCAGAAGACGAAGAAGACGGAGTAGCAGTTTTGCAGGGGGGGGGGGTTCCAGGCTAGCTTTCCCATTTGTTTCCAGTCTCTATGCTAAGCTAAGCTAACGTAACCTGCATACAAGGATGATTCAACCCCTTGAAAATCAAAACAAAAGCTTTGCAGTTGATTATTAATATCATAAAATACTAAATAGTGATGATTATAAGGCAAGAAAAAAAAAACGTGGCACCAAAGTTTAAATCCCGAACCTGTTTGACCTGAAAGGAGGCGACTCGAGGCCTCTACTCGGGTCGACCAGTACCGTCTTCTTCTTCTACCACAAACTAAGTGTAAGGAAGCGGGAACACGTGTGGATGAGAACTCTTCCTGGATGGAGAACAGAAGACGTCCACTACAGCAGCAAAATCTATCTGCGATCGACTGTGACAAACCATAACAGTGCATTGACCCTCCTGAGAAATAAACCCTAAACAAATACACAACATCAGACCAACAGGAGGCGAGTCGGGAGGGTTGAAGTGACGTGGTCTCAGGGTGGAGGCCCCCCCCGCCGCTCATCAGAGACCCGGTTAGCCTCTCGAGTATCCCGAGCTAAACCGCTGGCAGTGAAACGTTCTCAGATCAGCGACCAGCTCCCAGCTCAGACCCCCGCTGGGAACTCTTCCTGGTCACAGAGGCAGGTCAGTAGTTGGCCTGGCGGCGGCTGGGGCTCGGCTGAAGACCCCCCACCCCCACCCAATCCCAACCTGGAGACCCCCCCACCCCCCAAAACCCACCCCGGGGAGTTCGGAGCTTCTCTTGGCATCGGTGAAAGACGTGTGGAGAACTGGAAGGAAGCACGGAGGGGGACCAGCGAATAGAGGTAATATCCATTCTCTCTCTGTGGCAGAGGAGTGTGTGTGTGTGTGTGTGTGTGCGTGTGTGGGTGTGTGTGTGTGTGGGGGGGTCCATTAGCCCTAATTTATCTAGAGTTAATAGAAGGAGGGGGAGGGGAGGAGCAACGACCCCAAACATTTAACTCTCATCAAAGTCCTGAGAGGAAGGCTCCACTTTGCTCTTCTTGGTGGGCGGGGCCTCCTCCTCCAAGTCCTAAAAGAACCAATGAAAACACTCCATTTAATAATAATACTATTTATAACAAAAGAACATCAGATGACTATTCTCAAAAACTTGAACTTGCTGCTTTATTTTTTCTGCCCCTCAGAATTCACAAACTTTTCAAGTCAATATGAAAGAAGGCGTATTAAGGAAAAAGTTAGTTGATTTGATCTGAACAAAAAATCTTTTACTGTGAGCAAAAGTTCCTCTGGATTCAGAGACAGAAGGAAGGATTCAGGTGATCGATTTATCTGTTTTACATTTATAAAAGCTAAAGTCATCCAAACAAACTGAACATTGACTGAATATCAGCGGCTACGAACTAAAAAAGGGAAAAAAATATATATATAAAATATAAAATGTGGTGGCGTTCGTACCTGAGTGGCTTTGCTGTCCGTGGAGTCCTTTTCCCCCGAGGACACACCGTCTCTCTTGGCGCTCGGGGCTCTCTCTGAGGTCTCTGATGAGGGGGGGGTCTTACCTGGGGAGTGAAGAACACGTCACAACACGTTTCTCACGCGGCTCTGCAGCGCCCCCACGTGGCGGAGAGGAGAACTTATTCAAGTTCTTTTGATTTCTTCAAATTTTGCTGGTTGGACGAAAGAATCTGAAATTGTCCCCTCGAGGGCTCGTTTTAAACTGTGAAATCTTCTCATGGGATAATTCCTATTTTCGCGTCTGGCTCCAGGTTATCAGGTAAAGACGAATCAAAGATAAAAGAATGATGAGCAGCTTCACTTTAACTTCCTGACAGGCGGGACATCAGAAGGGATTTGCAGTGTTTGATGATTTATTTATTAACTTTAACTTTTTAAAATAATTTCTCGCTGCATAAGAGACAATAACTGTGTTATAACGTTACTAACGACCAGCGTGTTAACTTTCCATCAGGGGAAAACCAGAGAGACAAAATTGTCGGTTGAAGCCGTATTTAACCGAGCGGAAGCCCCGCCCACTTTCTCTCAGCGTGACGCTATTGGTCGCCACGGAGACAAAAACAGGAAGTGACCGATCAGCTGTCGCTCTACGACCTGTCCACCGGAGGAGATGTTTTAGGTCAGGTTACACCGCCGTGTGTGTGTGTGTGTGTGTGGTCTCACCGCGCTTGCTGTCGGGGGGGCTCTGCTCGGCCTTGGCCTCGCTGCTGTCGCGGTGAGACGTGGCGGCGGGCTCCGGCGCCGGGCTGGTGCTACAACTGTTCTCCTGTTTCACCGGGGACGAGTCGGCGATGGAGCTCTGGTTGCTGTTGTCATCTAGAGAGAGAACGAGACACAGAGACATGGAGACACATGGAGAGACAGAGGCGCGTTAGTTGGTTCCCATCTGACACAAAAACATTTTCTTTAAAGTGTCCTTAACGGATTATTAATGTTAATAATTAATTTAATAAATGTGACAAGATATGAATAAAAATGCGGAAGTTTGTGTGATTATTTTAAAAATCCACAAGTCCACCAATGATCCCTTTGTCAAAGTAGGAATATTCTTCAAGTTCCTTTATTAAAAACGTGAAAACTATATCTGGTGTTTGTAGAGGTGCGTCTGCATGCGTCATTTCAGATGATGATGATGATGATGATGATGAGGGTTACTCGGGGCGTACCGTGCATGTCCATCATCCCCGGAGACGAGCTGTTCTCCGGGGTCGTCAGCTCGGAGCCGTATTTCTCATCTTTGCCCTTCTTCTTGTTTTTGTTCTTCTGCTGGGGGGGTCGGCGGGTAAAAGGTTCAGAGTTTTTAAACACAGGACAGAGAAAAGCGATTAACGGGTCTTGAACGTCGGAGGTTCTCCGGACTCACGTCGTCTGATTTGGGCTCCGTCACCGGGACCCACTTGTAGATGCGGAGGGACGTGTCCCCCACCGTCACCCACTTCTTCTCCCTGCGTGGGACAGAAAGAAACCAGCTGGTTGTTTAATCGCACAGCAGATTATTTATGCTTCATCTCTTCACCCCGAGTCAAGGAGGAGAAAAGTGAACGCTACGAATGCAACACAAAGACACTTCAGTGATTTTAATGTTCCAGCTGAACCACTTTGTTAAAACCGCCATTTTATTTTCCCAGAAGCAATTATAAAAGCGTTAAATCACTTGCGTTGTCCCCAAAAAAATCCAGAGATATTACATCTATAATGATATTAAGCAAAAAGTTATATTTTAGAGAGTAGAGCTGGTGACTGTTTGGCTTTTTTCACTAAACAAATGACCTTTGTGAGAATGGAAATACTGTGATTAACACAGCAGGAGAAATTATGATGTTAACAATAAATACTTTAAAATCATTATGTCTCAATATAATGGTTGTTTCATGTTGGTACAACACTTCACACTCCTTTCAATATTGTATTGTGTAGTCTGAAATGTAGTGAAATTAAAGTATAAAATGTTATCAAATAGAATGACTCGAATTAAGTAACGTTAACAAACGAAAATGTACTTCTTGTGGTGAAAGTCAATAAAAACTTCTAAAGCTAGTTTAGCTAACTTAGCATACAGTGTGGGCTTAAATTACATCAGCAACACAAGAGATGAACCACCCTCCAAAAATATTAAACCAAAATGTTAAGTTATCATATTTGTACCGTGAAGCTTACGATTAAGTTAAGTGACGTCTTTTATTTTGAAATTCAGAGACAACCGTTAAATAAACGTTATTTTCAAAACCACCAACTTCTGCTGACTTTGACCTGGGGACGTTCGATTAAACCGCCTGATAAAAAAAACAACACTACACCATATAAATGCTCCCCCCGGGGCGGAGTTACGCACCTAAATAAAACTAAACAAAGCACCCTCGACGTGAAACGTGTTATTATTCGGTCCGAAGTGTGTGTTTAAAGTGTGTTTTAGTGTTAAACGTTGAGGCTACGTGTTAGCCTACTTCCCCTCTCCCCAACCCCCACCGAGCCGCCCTCTCCACCGGCCCCAAAAGGCGACTCAAAGCGCTTCATTTAAACTCCACGCGGACTAAACTACTCAGATATCGTTCTCGACGCGGTTATTGCGGGTTTTATCGCCGCCCCCCCCCAGAAAAAAGGGGGGAAACCACGCCGCCGGGCGCTGAACAACGAGCAGCAATGGCTTCATGTGACTGCAACGAAATGGCTTCTGGGTTCAACCCTTTCTGTGTGTGTGTGTGTGTGTGTGTGTGTGTGTGTGTGCCGTTAACGGAGGAACAAACACCGGGCTACGTGCAGTACGACGGGCTGCGGCGGTGAACAAGACTAGTGCGCCCCGGTGCACCTGAGCCGCCGGTTCATCTGCCGTGAATCCCCCCCTCGCTCGTTCAAATGCCTCCTCCGTCTCATCCCTCGCTGCCTTTCCCTCTCCTCCCCCAACAAGCCTGTTTTCCCTCTCGTGTTAGATAACGAAGCCTGGCTTTCTTTTCCCTTTCGCTCTTACCATTTCCGTACTTTCTCAATAGCGGCCATGACCCTCTTGATGTCATCTTTCGCCCTGCTCCGGGTCTCCGCGCGCACCGACCTGCCCGACATTGCCGCGGTGGGTTTAATATATTTTTTTAAAGCTCGCCGGCAGTTCAGACACAATGCAAACAGTAGAGCGCACAGAGGAGCTACTGCGCATGCGCGGGCTGGTCGAGCAGAGGGGGGCGGGGGGAGCGGCTGCAGCTGCACTATGAAGACGGATGTGTCTCCATGCTGTGTGGGAACAAAGACGGCAGCTCTCACTGCTAAACACTACTAGTTTCTGTTGGGGGGGGGGTTTGTTGTCCGTCAGCTGAAGCGGGGACACGCGGTCGGATGCTTTATTTAGGTAAACATAAAAGTACTACGTCACCGTGAAACATAGTCAGCGTCGTTCGGGTGATACTCGACCAACTTGTAAACCACAAATAAACGAAAGATGGGCTCGTCATACATTCTTTAATATAGTGATCCCAACATTTGTTTATTTCCACTAATTCTATTAGAGCTCTTTGTTTTGTAGATAGAACGATATGTACTTTTTTCACCCTCAGGTAATTTGTTTGAAGCAGCAGCAGGCAAAGTTACAGAGTAGACGTACAATATTAAAAATGCTCTATACACAGTATTGAGCATACAAAGTGTATATACAGTGAACTAGAAGTATATACAGTGGAATTCATTAGGTATTAAATGAACTAACTAAAACATTGGAAAGGTGAATGTCAGCCGTCTTCATGTGAAACAAGGGTCAGTTCAAGCAACCGCCTCAGTTCAGTAGGACACATCCATAAGTCTTCAATCTTCTCTTGTATAGTTTTTATTTTTTCCATTATTTGTCTTAGCTTTTCCTTATTTCATTTTTGTCAAAGTAACTTTTTTTGTCTTCCAAAGAACTAAAAATAACCAAAATGAATCTAATCTGCTTCTCGATGGACACACGGGAGAAGTTTCGGTCGGTTGCACCCTCTGAACTCATCGCCAGATGTCTCCAAATTCGGAACACTGGCCCTTTAAGAACGTGTAAAGCTTTTTATAGCTTCAACAGCAACACAAAGTAGAGCAGTGGAAATTGAAACAAAATAAACATATGAACAATTTGAATGATAAATATTATCACAATTAATAATTAATAAATCATGTTATCTAAATTATAAAATCAGAAGTATAAACAACTTTAGGCTAAATCATTTCACCCAAATGTAAATGAATCCCAATATTTCCGACAGCACCTGAAGAGGGCGCGACGTTCTGAGCGGAAAAACGTTCTACGTCATCACTCCGCGACACGTCAACACTCAGCTCGTCGCTCGTAACGCCGTGCAACTCGGCGAATAGTGACGATAAAACTTTCTACAGATTAAAGAATATTTTGAGGCATCTTTTAATAAAGTGTTGCCGACATTGTCGATTTACAACTCATTTTATTTTTGTTTCGTATATCATTTGTTTTGAACGAAGCAGCTTATTTGGCATGTGCCAAAATTCCCGGTGTTGATTAATTAATTAATTAAATAACAATCATCATCTCCGTTATTCGTTGTAGAGACTGCCGCGCGAAGGCTCTCCCGCCGCTGCCAGGATGAATAAAGAAGGTACGCTGGTTCCCCTTGTCCACCTTTCCCCCGGCGTCGGGGGTTAGCCGCTCGCTAACGTGTCGCTCTGGTCCGTTCAGAGCTGGTGGAGTACTTCAGGGCGCAGATGAGGACCGACCCGGACATGGCCTCCGCTGTGGCCGCTATCCGCACCCTGCTGGAGTTCCTCAAGAGGGACAAAGGTGTGTGTTCCTCCACTGTGCACACCCATGTTCCTAATAATATTAATAGTTAATAATATTCCTGCTGCATTGTAACTCCTTTATATCTTGTTGGCTACTTTAATCCACATCAATGGATCTTCTATGGATCTTCTCTCTCTCTGGATATTCTATTAGATCATAGTACAGTAAGAAGTACAATATGTAGCTCAGAATGGCGTAGAATCACCCCCACCTTTAATCTGAACCTCCTCCCCCCTTCAGGTGAGACCATCCTGGGCCTGAGGGAGAGCCTGACGTGGGCCACCGACTGCCTGACCGGCGTGGACTCGTCCGTGGCCGTGTCCTCTGGAGGAGAGCTCTTCCTGCGCTTCATAAGTCTCACGTCCCTGGAGCACGAGGTGGGCGTCTAACATCTCGCTTCCCTTCGTTTCTTTGCTGTTGTGATACAACGAGAGACTTTTGTGCTTAGAAAAGAGAGACGTTGGAAATCACAAGCGTCTGGATTTCATCCTGGATGTTGTGGTTTTCAGGCGTTCTTCTTTAAAGCTGATTCTGAAAATGTGATTGCGTCTTAAAAATAAAAGCTTAATTATTCTCCAGCATAAATACACTTGAGTCAGTTTAGGGATTCAATTAAATTAAATTGAGAGATTTGCAGTAAGTGATCAAGCTTTTGTTTTAAATGCTCAGTTTGTTGTCATTATTTCTTTACTGTTGTGGGCTTAAAGCAACCAAAGGGGGAACCACGAGAGGGTCTGAGCCTCGTAAATAAGGTCTGAGGTGTGTAAATAAAAGCCAGAATAACTTTAGTCTCTCTGTCCGTCAGGATCTGTCTCGCTGTAAGAAGGTGATGGAGGAGAGGGGCGAACTCTTCCTCGAGAAGATCTCCATGTCCAGAACCAAAGTGGCTAAACTCTGTCACACCTTCATCAAAGACGGTGCTGTGAGTATCGTTACACGCGTGTTGCTTTGTTGGTCAGTGAAGCTTCATCAACTCAGGAAACCTCATTATTAAACTAATAACCATATATTGTAGATGAAACTACCCAAAAGTATACAAACTAGGAAGAGCTCCACTGTTACAGGTGAGCAACACATTAATGAATAAACATTTAGGATTGAGTTATTTAACATATTAACTACCAAAGTATTAAGAGTTAAGTTATTAGAGTTCTTATTAGTACTTTATCATCTTTTGTTGTCATTTATTATCTCACACACACACACACACACTCTTCAGGCTGTGACTGGTTCTTCTTTCTTTAACACGCTCCTCTTGAAGAAAATCCTCACTCACTCGTACTCCCGAGTCGTCCTCCGGGTGTTGGAGAAAGCCGCCGCCGAGAAGAAACGCTTCTCGGTGTACGTGACCGAGTCGCAGCCGGACTCGGCCGGGTGAGTGAATGTGCACTTTTATTTTGAAGGGACACACACACACACACACTCACTCACTGTTTCCTTCTCCTCCAGGCGTCAGATGGCGGACGCCGTGAGAAATCTCAAAGTCCCAGTAATCGTCGTCCTGGACGCCGCCGTCGGGTGAACACATTCAACCATCGAGTGGCAGCAGCGTCACGTCATCGTCGACATGAACTATAAAGCCGGGTGTTTTTTTGACATTTGCGCAGGTATGTTTTGGAGAAAGTGGACCTGGTCATCGTGGGAGCGGAGGGAGTCGTTGAGAGCGGCGGGATCATCAACAAGGTGAGTTTCAGCGAATCACAAATAGCTCAGAAGTTTCAAGTTAAAAAAAAGTCGTATTTCTGATGGTCCTTTGGAGAAATATTCAGACTGTTTAGTAAAAGTTTATTGTTCAGCGTTTTGTTAAAACAAGGTTTTCTAAATGAGTCGAGCTGAAACAGAATGAGGGATCGTTGCTTTAGAGAAGAGACTCATCGTCTCACATTAATGGCAGATTTAAACCGTTTTAAATAGAACAATGAGGCAGAGTAAACGTACAAAGCACTGATCCTTGGGTTGAACACACGACCTTTTGACCTCTGCCGTTGCAGATCGGCACCTATCAGACGGCCGTGTGCTCCAAAGCGCACAACAAGCCGTTCTACGTCGTGGCCGAGAGTTTCAAATTCGTCCGCCTCTACCCGCTCAACCAGCAGGACGTCCCCGACAGGTTCAAGGTGAGCATCTTCCCGCCGGGGGCTTCGTGGTTGTTGTTGTTGTTGTTTACGAGCTTTTCTCTCCACAGTACAAGGCCGACACGCTGAGGAACAAGGCCAACCTGTCGGAGGAGCATCCCATGATCGACTACACGCCCCCGTCCCTCATCACCCTCCTCTTCACCGACCTGGGGGTCCTCACCCCCTCGGCCGTCAGCGACGAGCTCATCAAGCTCTATTTATAACTCAATAAACGTCTCTCACGGGGAACACAAATGTCACACGGTCTGATTGAATGCAAGTTGAACGCGGCGGGTCACGCCTCCTCCGCCTCCTCCTCGCCCGAGGCTCCGCCCCCGTGGATTTTGTTTTTTGGTTTGGTCGTTATCTGCTTCTCAAAGTCCTCCTCGCTGATTTTCCCCTTCTTGAGCCTCTTGAGGATTCGAGTGTCATTTAAGAGCTCCTTCATGTCCTCGTCCTCCACGTCGGAGCCCTGCCAGCAAACCACAGCGGTGAGTCGAGAATAAATCAAAGCCGCCGATTCGTCGAGCAGGATTAAAAAAAAAGGCCACAATACCTCTTCGTGCTTCCTCTTGGCCGACCTCTTCTTCCTGCGCTCCGTCTTGGTCTTCTGCTTGGACCAGGACTTGTTCTTGATGAAGTTCCTCTTTGGGAGCGGCGGCCTCTCCTTCAGCTCGGCCAGCATCTTCTGCCTCAGCTTCTCGCGGTTCTTGTCCTTGTAGCGGATGGTGTCCGTGTCCAGCGCCGCCCCGTCGAAGCCGGGGAACGTTTTCCCCTTCAGCTCGGGCATCTTGGGCATGCGGAGGAGGGCGAAGCCGCGGGCCAAGGTGGAGAAGTTCAGATCTGGACAGAGAGGCGGCTAAGTGTTAGCATTGAGCTGAGCGCCGCGCCGCGGGAGGCGGAGCGCCCGTTTCTCACCTTTGACCCGGAAGATGAGGCTGCACTCGTGTTTGGCGTACGCCTGCACGAAGGACACGAAGGCCCTCATGCCGCGGTCGAACATGGCCCGGTCTGCCAGGGACATGGCCTTCACCTTGGGCAGCACGTCCACCACTTCCTCAGTGAGGACCATCTTCTGGAGGGGACACTGGGGACACGGCCGGGGGACACACTTCAACAATGGTATTTGGGAGGGGGTGACCTTTGACCTATGCGGCTAATAAAATGCTGGTTGAAGGCAAATAAAAAAATAAACTCACTTTCTGATTGATGGACAAAAAGTTGACGTAGGACTCTTCCATCGGCAGCAGAAAGACGAGGGCGTTGCCGTGGTTACCGATGCGAGCTGTACGTCCACAGCGATGCACAAACGCACTGAGACAAATAAACAAAATAAAATCTATGACATCATTAAGACCCTAAAGATGTCATTCAGAGTGGAAACAATGTAATTCCTGTTAATCCTGGAAAAAAAGAACTAGGCTTTTACATACAGAAAGTAGATGTTTTATATCTAGGCATCGAGTTGTCACGTTAGGGTTGAAGTTAAGGAAGCGATGTTTAAGTCGAGCCTGATAAATAAAAAGTTGCGTCCACAGCTGAATAAACATACAGTAATATTTAATATTCAGGGTGCCGGTAGTTACTCACCTGGCGCTGCTGGGCGGATCGTACTGCAGCACCCAGTGCACGTCGGGGATATCGATCCCTCTCGCCATGACGTCCGTGCACACGAGGATCCCACTGCGACGCAACGATGAAAAACCACGTTGAAATGCACACGAACCTTCTGGGATTTAGTGCCATTATTTGAGCACACAAACCTCTTCAGGGCCCGGAAGTCGGCGAAGATCTTGTTGCGTTTGTTCTTCATCTTGCCGTGGATCGCGTGCACGGTGACCTTCTTCACCAGAGTCTCCAGAGCGCGGCCGAAGTACTCGACACACGCACACGTGCTGGAGACCACACAACGTCCTTACTGATTACGACGCGCAAACACAGCGCGCTTGTTCTTAAATCTGCTGGTAGAACTGAACTTATTTTATTCCACTTTGTGTTGCGGTTCTATTTGTCAACACAAACATGTTTAACGTACCTGAAGAAGACCAGGTGCTTCTCCTGCTTGTGTTGCCGTAGAAACGCCACCAGGTTGTTGAACTTGTTCTCTGTTCTGCAGATCTGAAAAAGATGTCCTTTGTGCATCATTACATTTCTTTTTCTGGGGTCTGACTGATGTGAAACAGATCGTTTGATCAGATTAATACTCAATAAGACATAAAACACATAATAACATTAAAGCGGCGCGTGCGCGTGACTCACCGTGAAGTAGTTGCAGAGCCTGGACGGCGTCTTCTGCACCACGGCGGACTCGGCCACGCCCTTCTCCTTCACCGTGATGCGCACCGGGTTCCGGAGGCCGGCCCTCACCAGCTTCTCCAGCTCCTGAGTCTGAGTGGCCGAGAACAGACCCGTGCGCCGCTGTTTGGGCAGGTGGGCCAGGATGGTGTTCAGACTGCACACACACACACACACACACACACGGTGTGTAAGCGGCACGAAGGACCTTCAGGGCTCACGTCTTCTCCCATAACGATACAAAAAAACCCGCTTTATTTCAGCACCTGGCTTCAAACCCCATGTCCAGCAGGCGGTCGGCCTCGTCCAGAACCAGGACGTCCAGACTCCTGACCGAGCTCGCCAGGTCCAGACCGTCCGGCTTCCTCCTGAACATGTCCTCCAGGCGGCCCGGCGTCGCTATCACAATGTTCGCCCTGAGACACCAAGAACAGACCGGGAGACACGGATGTGTTGGATCTGGTCGTTTAGAGGGGGACGTTTTCCTTCATAACCTTTTAATCTTGATGGTTAGACAAGGAGGGAACTTACTCTTGTGTACGTTCTGTTAGCTTAGCATAAAGACCGTCAACGGCTCTGTACAAAAGTGAAAAGGCTCGTCATTAGGACGTCCCATCTCACCCGTTCTCCTTAAACTTCTCCACGTCGTCTATCGGGTTGGTGCCGCCGATCAGCAAAATCTGCCTGGAAAGAAGAAAAGTACAAGAAGCATTTGAACAACTTTAAAACAAGACGGGAAACTAATATCTAAACGGTCTTCGGTGACTTTGTACTCACGTGAACTGTGGAAACTTGCTGGTGAAGAGCGCCATCACTTCACTGATCTGAAGGGCCAGTTCTCTGGTGGGAGTGATGACCAGAGCGCCCACCTGGGCAACAAACAAACAAAAAACAAACAAACGTCATTTAGGGTCTCGGCGCCCACCGGAGGAAGAGGAGAGGCAGTCCGGAGCCTCACCTGCATCTTCTTCAGCTTCTCTTCTCTCCTCAGGAGCAGCTCGATGATGGGGATGACGAAGGCGAGCGTCTTCCCGCTGCCGGTCACCTGACGGTCCCGGAAGAGGAGCAGCAACGGCAAACAATTAATAGTTTACATGCAGATACATTAATGAAAGAGGAATGCTGGAGGTGGCTTTTTTTCAAACAACCTGGCAACCCAAAACTTACATCTTTATTGACGTCTTAATAACTGATCTATAGCTCATATTCAATAGGTTTGGTGTACTGGTACACCTGATTTAACTGTATTACTGTGATGTGAGTATGAACATCAATGTAGGTCACTGGTTACTGGATAATATATTCATGAATGTGTTCATCAGGATGGAGGTACTTTTAAAAGCTAAATATACTAAATACTTTTCTCAAAATAGGTTCATCGTGAATGTTGTTAAAGTACATCCTGTCTTAATCAAAGTACTAGTGCCGTTACGTCACAGTTCTCAACACTTACCGCCTCCGCAGCGACGTCCTTGTTGCTCATGAAGAGCGGGATGCACGCGGACTGGAAGGGAAACGGTGGTCAGACGGTGCGTTCAATGACCAGTGCTGTTTAATAAGAGATTTAGTGTTTCACGTGTCGCACAGAAGCATGTTTCACGTGTCTCGTGTTACCTGCACGGGTGTCATGTGCGTGAACTTAATTTCCTCGAGCGTTTGTAAAATGCCCTCGGTGAGTTGAGTCGGTAAACTGTCCCACGTCCCTTCTGTCGAGTTATTCATGGTGGAAGCGGCGCGTTGGGCTGCGCTGGATGCTAACGTTGTTAGCCGCCGCTCGGCTGCGTCTCTTCTCCCACCACGATGTGCCGGTTTCCGGGTGCGTTGATGTTTACAGCCCGGGTGGGAACTGAAGCACTGTCAAAAGTACCGCTTACTTTTTTTTATTTACCGATTATTATACATTATACCACTTTGTGGGAAAAAATCATTTCGTAAACACCACTTTGTAGTATATTACTATTACGGTGTATGTATATAAAAAACATTGAATTATTAATACCACATTTAAACAATACTCCTGCTTACATCAACAACAAAATTGGGCCGATTTAAGGGATCCAAGGTGAAAGTACTCGCTGAATCACTCAAAATATACTGAATTCATTCTTTGATTCAGAAGCTTGAGTATGGTTGCATCATTGGTTCTCTTCAACGATTCTCAAACCCTTCAGCAGTTTAACTCGTCACACCAGGAAGAACAAAGGACATTCGTCTAAATTAGCAATGACTTCCAGGTTGGACTGAAAGGCAATGCAGATAACTTAACGCTTGTCCCGAATGAGCCACCCAGCTTACCAACGACGTGATCCAGTCAAACTTGCATTTCAACTTTTTCTTTAAAAAAAAGACAACCAAGTAAATGTAGAGAATATTGGCTTTATTATGAAACTTGGGGCTTTTTCCTGACAACCATTCTACATTTGTACGGTTCCATTTTTAATCAGATTTAGTAGCTTGTAATCACAAAAAACGAGAGGCTGTGTACGGAGCAGTTTACCTGCCAGAAGTTTTTTTAATACAAAACTGGAACATATTCAGCAACATGCAACACCTGCGATGTTCCAGCTGTGCCAGAGGAAGAAAGTTTTCTTTTTGCACCCGATTTGGAAAGAGACTGGTACAGTAGAAGCTATTTGAAAGGCCTCATCCAAACAGTTGCATGTGACAGGATATGCTCCAGGAAAGGAAAAACAAAAAACTGTATACAATCATAATTTAAAATCCCTAAGCCCAACAAACTATAGTAGAAGCAACTAAAGCACACAGCAGTCATTATGCATCAGAACCCCCCCCCCCCCCCCAACCACATTCCCACCCAGGGCCGATCAACATGTAACATGCATTTCAGTATTCCTCTACACTTTCATTTGGAGTTTTAAAATCAAACTCTGCCTCGACTCTACGAGGTCTCTCTGCTAAGAGGAAGTTGTCAAATTAAAGTGTAAAAGTCAAATCAACGGGTGGATTCTTGAGCCAAGAAACCACGCAAATGTTTCTGAACTACGTACAGAAAATAAGTCTCCTCCCCCCAAACCCCCCCGCAGCGTGGATCACTGTGAATCAAAAGACGGAGCTAGAAGCTGTACAGTTTCCCCTAAAAGATCAGCTACTGTGTAAATCCTTCAGTAAAAGCCAGCAGGAGTGCGATTTGTGCAGATATCACATATCCATCAGCACGTTCTGACTCGGCTTGGGAGATGAGATAAAAAACAAACAAACTTGAAAACAAAATATGATCCCATGCTTCGTTTTACTTTTATCGTTTGAAAGGGTCCCATGGAAATCTATGCGTTCTCTTGTGCAAACTCCACACATGTAGACCGATTCGTGTGGGTTTTCCTTATTCATCTGAGGGCTTTTACATAAGTATGAACCTCCCGGGCATTCACACAATTTGTATGTAATAATTATGGAACAAACAAAAAAAGAGAAACCAATACATTTATCGCAGAATCCGTTCCAAACAAACAAAAAATCATATTTCTAAATAAGGAACCAAACAGGTAACAGGTGAACAAAACATCTTAGATCTAATCACATGGAGGCTTCACTCGAATCGGCCGGTTTTGTTTTCCAGAGTGTAAATGACTGTCTTGATGTGGGGAGCAATCAGTGGAGGACACCGGGGATCATTTCATCGCACTAAACCACTCGCCGTACTTCGAAAAATCTCTTCAGGTAGTAAATCTGTCCGAGCGTCATCGCCACCAGAACCAGAGCTTCAAAGAACGACCACAGCACCACTCTGCTGTTTGTGTTGTCGTTGACTGGAGAACACAGAAGAGGAACATGGGTTATTCAGTAAGAACTTCCACTCAAACAATTGAAGCGACGTACGTGTGCTCGTCGGCGCCGCACTCACTCGCTCTGTGTATCCTCTCGCGAACCTCCATGTACTCCTGCTCGTGCTTCACAGCCGTCATGGCAACCGCCAACTCGTTGATCATCTCCTCCAGCTTGTTTTGATGAGCTGAAACAGGCAAACGGAAATCTGAAGTGAGAGGCGGCAACAGTGGATGTGCACAAAAAAAAAACATGCATGGGAGGTATGCAACACATGCACAACAAGTCTGCAATTGTGACTCATGTCGCAGGTGATGCCGTCCCATCACCAGAGACATTTGTACATCACACACGTTCTCGCTGTGCAAATAGCAAAGCCATTCACTAATAACACAACCTACATGTTGCTGAAATGCACATTAGTTTAAACCATGAATACAACACTGGTTAGGAGAAACTCTGCAGTGCATCGCAAACTGAAAAGCCTATTTCTGGAGAGAAGATCTGCCCCGTTTCCCTACCATCCCAGCTGTCACCACCTACGAAGAGGAACAGAGTGTCCAAAATAAAGTCAAACTATCACAGGACAATGACAAGTTTAGAAGAACACAGACAAAGTGGTCTGCCCCCTGCGTGATCTATGTGTGGGGGGGGGGATACAGCTGGCTGACTGGTAGGAGATAGTAGTAGTTTCTTCATTTCTCTTGTGTACATCGATGCATGTACCTTCCGTCTCCATGTCCTGGCCCTTCGGGGCCTCCCCTATGTCGATGGTGAACATGACGATCTTGGGCGTCATGGTTGACATCTTGTTGCTGAAGCAGAACTTGTAGGTTCCGTCCATGTGTGCCGCCACAGAGTACTTCCCGCTGGACTCCCGGTCGCCCTTGTAAATCTGCTTGCCGTCGGGCCCCGTTATCTGAGGAGGAAGAAACAAGACAACAGCTGCATGACGGGATCCCACCGCTGCACCATATGGCAGCAACATCTGGGAGCCTAAAGCACTCGGCTGTGGGTAAAACCACAGCACCGGTTCATCAAACGCAGTCAAGAGTAGATGTTGGTTAACAGGTGACGTTAAATCTCCATGTTCATCTATAGTTGACGTTAGCTTGCTAGCATAACGCAGCCGGATGATGCTAGCGCTGCACTTCCTGTATCCTTATGAATAATTCAATTGACATTGTAGCACACTTGTTAACATAAAGCTGTCCGGGTAATAACTATAATTCCCAGCATCGTTTAAAATGCGTGTATTAGATAGTAACCATGCATGTTAACGTTAAGTTAGTTTAGTTACGCATGAGAGACGGCGGCAGCTAACGTTAGCTAGCACAGGCCGGAAGCCTCACAAGCTCATATTTAAGTTCAAATAAAACCATTTCTCCGCCTCAGGTGGGTTGGTTTATTATAAAAGGAGAAGTATCTCACCTCGACGTCAATGTCCAGGAAGCCTCCCTCGGCCACCTCGAACATGAGGCCCATCTTTGTGCCCGAGTTGACCCGCTCGTAGAAGCACTCGTCGGCATGGGCGTCTATGCTAACGAAGTAGCCGGACGCGGTGGCGGAAAGCACGGCCAGCAGGACAACCAGCTCCGATGCGGTGAACATGGTACCGAACAAATGGTCTCACGGCGTCACCAAAGAAGTCTGCTCGCTGTTTTCGGAGCGTCGCTTGTGGGGGAGCGGGACGTCGGGTCTGTCCGGGTGAATTGTCACAGGAGAGGAGCCGCACCAGCCTCGGCTGCTGTGTACACGGTTCTCTGACTGCCACGTACGGGCTTAAACGGAGGCCGACGAGGGCCAAACTTCACAGAGTGCGCGGCGCGAATACTCTGCGTAAGGGAAGCGACGCTCACGGGACATTTCATTTGTCCTAAACATCCTCCAGTGGTGGTGATGGTCGAGTATATTACATATAGATACGTGGGTGTTTTGATGAATAATTCTGCTTCCTTACTGTGTATGTTGCATTTAACCTTTTATACGTTGTCCTAAATTGAGCTCCTCATTATAATACGATTAGTGACATATTTCATGGCAACAAAGTTCTGAACATCCTGAAATTGAGTTTAATAACCACAAAAGGTTACAGGTGGTACCTTTTTGCATTGGCATTAGAAATACTGTGTGTTTTTCTGAAAATAAATTAGCTTTATTGCTTTATTGCTAACAGTATGTTTTGATACATTGCTTGTTGTGGTTCTATTCTCTTTTACTAGAATGCTGTCACTACTTTGACTTAATTAAAACATACGAGTATCACTTCTACCACAGCGTTAACTCACTACAGAAGAGTTAACGTTCTCACCAAGAGCGTTCCGGTTTTGTTTTTGCAGCTTTAACACGCAGACCACGTGACTTGCGCGGTCTCCGCGGTGGGCGGCGGAATGTTGCGGTTTTTCACGCTAGCGCGGCAGAAAGCGTTCTGCCGCTCGCCGCTTGCCGCCCGCGCCGCTGTAACGATAAAAAAACGAGTCGCCAGTGAGCATGCGCGAAGAGACACCGATAGGACCCTTCGATTTACGCCTCGCTGTTTGCCGGACGAGTCCAACCCCGTGTGCTTTATTTAAATAAGAACAAAGGCGGGGGTCCGGGTGACAGAATCCGGCGCACCCCTCCAACTCCGTCGCATGTTTGCTGACGTCCCGTAATCGACTTCGCCGTGAAGTCTCCGGGGCCGAAGGCCTAGAGACTTTTTTTTTTTTTAAAGTAACGCGTAGATTTCCCCCCCCCGTCTCTGATGCCTGGATCTCGGTGCCGTCCTGTGACCGGGTGCGAGCCGATGAAGCACTTTATTCTGTGATCGAAGCGGAAACGGTTGGGAAACGTCAGCCGGCTAACTGTAGCTACCGCTAACTGCCAGCGAGGAAGTGAGGGACGAGAAAATGACATCTCGGAGGTAAGAGGAAAACAATGTCTGCTGGCTGCGTTAGCCGAGGAAGCTAACGTGGAACGGAACTCCGTGCGGGCCAACAACAACAAGTCATTAGCTTGAGTTAGCATACGCCGGTAGCTTGTAGGGATGTTGAGGGTAGTAAACACCGTTACTGTCTGTCGCCGAGCAGAAAGTAACGTTAGTAACACATCATGGACGTAAACGAAGCGCGCACTTATCATCAACGGATATGCTAATTAAAAGTTAAAAAAAAACACCTCCTCGCTTCTATGAATCAGGTTTATTGCAAAGCAATTTATTCTGTTTTTGAGTACAATTTCAAGGTACTTCATAGTTTTACTTTTCACTTCTCTACTTACATTTGTGAGCTCACTTTATTAGCAGACCTGCATCATTGATCCCACATATGATCAATAAATAAAGTATTTATTTTAATAGGTTAAGAAAAACGTGTTTCACATCAGCTGCACCATTAAGCCCCTTCCAAATAATAATAATTATTTATATATTATATATGTATTATTTATTTATTTTATATAATAATAACCAAATAATTGCAACCCTATACAAATATGATTATGGGATGCATAATGCATAATGAGCACTTAGTTAGTTGACAGAAGGGTTGTGTGTCCCAGACAGAGACAGACCGCATGTGTGCGGGTCGTGATGAACGAAGACAAGTCTGAGTCTGTAAGGGTGAGACACAGAGACTATGAGCCTGATAGACACAGGCTTGTGTTGGGGGGGGTTTACTCACAACCACACGCACAACAGCATCTATCTTTGCTTTATTTCATCCATACAGAGAAGTTATGGTGCAGCTGCAGTTAATGCATCTATCAAAAAGGAGCTTTATTTTATTGTCACATCGTCATAATATTTGAAGAAAGCAGCCGAGCTCTTTACAGGCAGCTGATACAGAGTGTGTGTGTGTGTGTGTGTGTGTGTGTGTGTGTGTGTGTGTGTGTGTCCCTCTCAGGTGGTTTCACCCCAACATCACAGGTGTGGAGGCTGAGAACCTGCTGCTGACCCGAGGAGTGGACGGGAGCTTCCTGGCCCGACCCAGTAAGAGCAACCCGGGAGACTTCACCCTGTCGGTGCGGTAAGTGATGCTGTGTCAGCAACTTCAGAATAAACTGGTGGGGAGGGACGGAAGGAATTAAATATCCACCTCAGAGAAGAGTGTTTTCTTGTTGGGTTCTCTTATTTTGAAAGTCCGTGTGAAGTCGTGTCTCCTGGTGGACGTTCGGAGGGTTTTGTGCGCCCGAGTTTCAGATCTGCCACAAGTTCTCCTTTTTCTATTTTCTGAGAAATGCTGGTGGTCATTCTCGATGACTCATCACAGCTTCTGGGTTTGTGTCACAAAAATGTGGTGCTTTCCTTTTTAAGAAACAGAATCTCGGCGCATTTTGCATAGTTTATTTTAAAATCTGTTGTTGGTGGAGGCTTTGTGTCTGACTATTTGTACATGTTGGTCCTATTTATCATAATCAATTGGTGCGAAAAAAAATGTCATAGAGTGAAAATGTGAAGAGATGAAGCGCGACATGACGATGTCAACACAAATATATTGAGTTTAAATTCTCATAAGACAGAAAAGATGCGTAACCTCTCATTAGAGAAGCTAATGTTTGATGTTTGTCTTTTACTAAATTGATTATAGATTATATTGATTTAATTGCTGATACGTTTGGTCCACTAATAGCTGGATGCAATTATTAACTAATAAATAAAATAAACATAAATATAAAACAAATTCTGTGAGAACCAGAGGAACCCTCCAGATGGCAGAATTTCTCCATGATTCTGACCTCCTCTCCTCTTTTTGTCCCTGCAGGCGAAATGGCGCCGTCACCCACATCAAGATCCAGAACACGGGGGACTACTACGACCTGTACGGGGGGGAGAAGTTCGCCACCCTGGCCGAGCTGGTGCAGTATTACATGGAGCACCACGGGCAGCTGAAGGAGAAGAACGGCGACGTCATCGAGCTCAAGTATCCGCTCAACTGTGCCGACCCCACTTCAGAGCGGTGAGCGACGTCGTTGTGCATCATTATTCTGTAAATCATTAACCGTCTTTTGTTATTATTATTTTAGCCACATTGTTTCTCATGATCTGTATTTGGGACATTTTACCATTGGAGCAATAGAACAGGACATGGGTTTTTCTCATGTACTGTGTATTGGAAGAGGGCGTCGTCATGGTGACGCCACGCGTTGCTTTGTGGACTGTTTGGAAGTTCTGCGATTTAACCGCTGATTTTGATTTAATTCAAACCAATTGCATTTATCCTGCAGCTCAGCGCATCCTCCCTCGTGCTGAATGAATGAGTTTGGCCTGTGTCTCTCTGACAGGTGGTTCCACGGACACCTGTCGGGCCGCGAGGCCGAGAAGCTGCTGACGGAGAAAGGGAAGAACGGCAGCTTCCTGGTGAGGGAGAGCCAGAGTCACCCCGGGGACTTCGTGCTGTCGGTCCGGACGGGGGACGACAAGACGGACAGCAGCGACAGCAAACCCAAAGTCACACACGTCATGATCCGCTGCCAGGTGACCGCATTCTCCCCGGTGTCCACCAGGGGGCGACTCCTGAAGCCTTGTGTAGGGGATTCTGATGGATGAGTCATGAATCCATGGACCGGTCCCTTGGGTTCTTGTTCGTACCACATGTAGGTTTTCTGATGCTGACACTTGGCCTCCTTCCTTTTCAGCATGACCTGAAGTACGACGTCGGCGGGGGGGAGAAGTTCGACTCCCTCACCGACCTGGTGGAGCACTACAAGAAGAACCCCATGGTGGAGACCCTGGGCACCGTGCTCCAGCTCAAACAGGTACCGCTCGGGCCCATTTATCGCCAGGAAGCTAGAAGCAGCTAGTGCTGCTGGTGCTGACTCCCGCTCCGTCCCACAGCCCCTGAACACCACGCGGATCAACGCCGCCGAGATCGAGAGCCGGGTGAGGGAGCTCAGCAAGCTGGCGGAGGCCACGGACAAGGTCAAGCAGGGCTTCTGGGAAGAATTTGAGGTGAGTGGTTCCGTGCGACGTGTTGAGCCCTCTCACGTGGAGGTGAGCGGTTCTCCGACACAATCAGGACCAGAAGAAACCCACTTTGAATTTCCTTTTCTTCAATGGAATCCAGATATCCACAAGTTGTCTCCAGGTTCTCAGACGGGGAAGCTCCACGTGTTTTATCTATGTACTATATTTACATCCTCTCCTCTCTGCGTTCAGCCAAAGCGTCTCAGACTAAATGTCATGCGACTGTCTCAGAAGAGCAAATAGTTTCACTCTGAATTGAATGTTTTTTAACAGAATCTGGTGAAAGGAAAGTTTAAAATGAGACGAGTAGAATACAATGTTTTTGAAGACGGACCAAGATGCGTTCAAGGACCGTTGGAAGGATGAAAATCTGAAGATAATTAGTTTTTTAATTGCTTCGGGCTTCAATCAACAGTTTAGTTTTGGCGATCATAGAAAACAAGCTTTTAAATCCTCTCATTGATTATTGATTGTGTATTTGGATCTTATGTCTCCCTCCCTCACTCATCTCTCCCTCCCTCCCTCCCTCCATCCAGACCTTGCAGCAGCAGGAGTGTAAGCTGCTCTACAGTCGCAAAGAGGGCCAGAGAGCAGAGAACAAAAACAAGAACAGATACAAGAACATTCTGCCCTGTAAGGACCCTCGACCCCCCTCGACCCCCCTCGACCCCCACCAGAAGACGCTTTGACCTTTACCCGCGTGAGGTGCTAAAACGTGTGTTTGTGTTTGTAGTCGACCACACGCGTGTTGTGCTCAACGACCGAGAGCCCAACGAGCCGGGCTGCGACTACATCAACGCCAACATCATCATGGTGGTGTCTGCTGTCATGGTAACGACCCGCTTCGCTCTGCACGTCATCACGGCCGTGGCCCGCATGCAGCACCCAGCTGACCGCGTGTGCGTGTGCGTGTGCGTGTGCGTGTGCGTGTGCGTGTGCGTGTGTGTGTGTGTGTGTGTGTGTGTGTGTGTAGCCGGAGCTGGACCCAAAGTGCAACAGCACGAAGGTGAAGAAGAGCTACATCGCCACCCAGGGCTGTCTGCAGAACACCATCAGTGACTTCTGGAGGATGGTGTTTCAGGAGAACTCCCGGGTCATCGTGATGACCACCAAAGAGGTGGAGCGGGGGAAGGTGAGCTCCGCCCGAACACCTCCCGTCCTATAAGAAGCAACCGTGATGCTTTAATATCCGAAGCAGGTTCCTGTATCCGATCATCTGCTGTAGTAGGAAAAAAAAAAGTTATTCTACTTGAAAAATCCAGATCTCAAAAAGAATCTGCATGTGGTATCGAAGTACCGAGTGCTCATCATGCAGAACTGTTCCTTTCAGTGTTTTACTATCGATGGTAATATTTGTATCACTCACAAATGTTAAATAGTTACTTATCGTTTCATTTGAGCTACTTGGTGACAAATGGCAGACGCATTATTCTCATTCTGCACATTCACGTCTTTTGCTTCTGGCACATGACGCGTATCCAGTCCTCCAGAGGTAAATGTCTCCTCGTGTCTCTGCAGAGTAAATGTGTGAAGTACTGGCCCGACATGTCGGCGCTGAAGGAGTACGGCGCCATGCGCGTCCGCAACGTGCGAGAGACGTCGGCACACGACTACATCTTAAGAGAGCTCAAGCTGTCCAAAGTGGGACAGGTGAGTCACTCGGGGCTTCGCACTTCTTGTTCTGGAAAGGCCATCGCCGCCGCCGTCGTCACACGCGTCTCGTTTCCAGGGCAACACGGAGCGCACGGTCTGGCAGTACCACTTCAGGGCCTGGCCCGACCACGGCGTGCCCACCGACCCGGGCGGCGTGCTCGACTTCCTTGAGGAGGTCAACCTGAAGCAGGAGAGCATAGTGGACGCCGGGCCGATAGCGGTGCACTGCAGGTACGCGCGCACACACACACACACACATGTGCACGTGCACACGCACAGGAGCCGTGGATCACCGTCTCTGTCTCTGTCGTTGTTCAGCGCGGGCATCGGGAGGACGGGCACGTTCATAGTCATCGACATCCTGATAGACGTGATCAGAGAAAAGGGTGAGTCGCGTGTCCCCCAGGTGAGCTCCGAGGCGTCGCCCCAAAACCCGCCGTGACCTCCGGTCCCGTTTCTGTGCCGCAGGCGTCGACTGCGACATCGACGTGCCGAAGACCATCCAGATGGTGCGCTCGCAGCGCTCGGGGATGGTGCAGACGGAGGCGCAGTACCGCTTCATCTACATGGCCGTGCAGCACTACATAGAGACGCTGCAGAGACGCATCGAGGAGGAGCAGGTCTGTGCCGCCCCCCCCTGCCTCCCCCGCCTCCCCCACCTGCCCTCGTTCCTGTCTCCTAACACCTCCCGCCTTCTCTCCTCTGCAGAAAAGTAAGATTAAAGGGCGCGAGTACACCAACATCAAGTACTCGTTGTCCGACCTGACCGGAGGGGAGCAGAGCCCTCTGCCCCCGTGTACCCCGATCCCCACCCCCACCTGCACAGAGTGAGTCCACCACCGCACATTCACGCCGCCCGATTGCTGGACGCGTAGTTTCTCATGAAAGTGTGTGTGTGTGCGCGTTTGTGTGTGTGTGTGTGTGTGTGTGTGTGTGTGTGTGTGTTGGCAGGATGAGGGAGGACAGCTCCAGAGTGTATGAGAACGTGGGCCTGATGCAGCAGCAGAAGAGCTTCAGATGAGATTCACCTTTGACCCCAGTGCTCTATCAGTTCCGGGTAAATGAACTGACACGCTGCTCATTTAGAGGAATAAAGCGACCGATGTGAGACTTTAATTCTCCGAGGCTGGAAAGGAAGCCGACGAGGCGTCGAAGGAGTAAATACAACAACGTAACGCACTAGACACCAAACGTTGAATGCGTTCGTCTTACTTTAAGTCTGCAGGAGCAGACGACGTCACATTAAAGCCTTTCTGTAGGGAAGTGATTTCAAAGTGAGCCGTATCTCCGGGGGGGTCGCACAGGGGTCAAGTTTTCCACACACACACGTCTCTAAGGGCCAGCGGAGGACTAATTATTATACTAATCGTCAAAAGGGACGTCCTTCTCACTCATCGTGACGCCCTCGTTTTTTTATTATTACTTTTGCAGTCAGTGAACAGGAAGTGACCATATTTGGACTGAGGAGGACGGATTCATTATTATTCTGGTCTGTCCCTGTCAATCAGCGTGTGGTCCCGCCCTAAAGCATCCGCTGCTTTATGGTCCGGTTGACTACATGGACCAACGGGCCTCATTCTAAATTCCCGTATAGAATTCGATGTTTGCATGACATCAAATTCACCATTTTGTGAATAAATGATCCCTCAGGATAAAAGTCACGAAGGCGTTTGTCTCTGCGGCTGTGAGGTAAAAGTCTTTTTACCTTTCTCTCTTTCAGGATGTCCATCCCTGACAGTTTTTTTCGCCAGCCACACCTTGACGCCTGAGACTTGACCGCGATGCCATGGAACCACACACACACACGCACACACACACACACACACACACACACACACACACACACACACAGGCGGGAGAGGGTCCTCCGGTCCTCGCTGAGCTCCCATTGAACGTTCTCCCTCTAGTTGAATCCTAAACCACTGTGATGATCATCAGAAGAGCCTTTGACGAGTCCTGCTACGCTGACAGGAGGAAGCAGCTCACCTTTGTTCTGTTCATTAACCAAAGGAAGGCTGGGGAGGAGTTTAAGCCCAGATGACGGGGGGGGGGGGCGGCAGACCTTTATTCCCAGAGCAGTTTTCACTACGTTACAGAGAATACTGCGTCTGCCTGATAGTGTGACATCATCTTTACTCTCTATTCGTTCCACTTCTAAACAGGAAGTCAGACTTTTTGTGCCAGAACTGCCTTGAAGAGAATGTTTTCTTGGGGGGGGTTTGTGTCTGTGGGCCGTTCCTGAGCAGCGGCGTCGCCCTTATTGCTGCTGCTCTTTACTTTAGCAGCGTAACAATTCCAGCGGCGTTTCCCCAAAGTGACAGCGGAGGATTTCAAGGGGGGAAAAAAAGCCTTTTTAAGTTGTTTAAGTGCATTTTTTTTCCCATTACACTTTGTTATGTCGTGTTTTTAAAAAAGATGAATGCCTTTTGTGTATCGATGCCTATTTTGAGCGCCACATGTACTTAACTGCTCAGCTGTGGTCCGATAGATTGTCAGTGTTGTGGTTAGAGATTTGTGCCCCCCCCCCCCCCACACACACACACACACACACACACTCTGTTCTGGCCTTTCTGATACGTCCGTCAGTTCATCCACGTCGGCCTCGTTGTAACTTCCACATGAACTCATGGAGGACGCAACAGATGCTACGGTCACCTCCTAGCTAAGCAGCTTAGCTTAGCATAAGGACCAGGCCAGCTGTTTCCTCATGCTAAGCTAAGATAATCGACCCTTTCATCAAACTCTTGTCAAACCATTTCCTGTTAATCTTTATCTCCTCAGTCCGATGTCTTTCAGAGACCCCCCCCCCCCCCCCCCGCACATTTCAACCCTGAGGCCTGGTCCTGGTCTTTGGTCCTGGTCCTGGTCTTTGGTCCTGGTCTTTGGTCCTGGTCCTGGTCTTTGGGCCGTCCCGTCACGCCGCCTTGAGAAGCTCGCATCCTTTTCTGCTGAGGAAAGGAAAGAAGGAGCCTCCCTCCTCTTGCCTTGAGGGACGGTTCTTCTCAACCTTCACTGACTGCATTTAAAACTCAGATATATGAAAACAGTGTTCTTATTTGGGGGGGTTGTTCTTTGGAAACATTCCTCCCCCCCAGCAGACTGAGGCCCCCGTAGTGCGGTGCACTGTACTCGGTTCTTATGGTCCAATCGGATGAGTCTGTTCTCGTGTCGTGGGGCGCCTGCTTCGTCCTGTGGTTTGTGCGCCGGGGTGTGAGGTTTGAGAGCGTCCCCCCCCCCCCCCCCCGATGATGGACTGCTCATCCGTTGGCGATGTGCAGATGCAGAGACGTGCCTTCTGTGCGTCTGCCTCCGTGTGTGTGTGTGTGTGTGTGTGTGTGTCGCTACTCAAATAAAGACAACACAGCTCTTCAGTTCGTCGCCATCCAACAAACCTGAAACACTTCAATGTGAATTCTGAACAAAGAGGAACTGGTGGCGATGCAAACAAACTATATTTTTTAACATGTATATTGTACATGAGTACCTGGTAGTAGTACTTACTAAAACATATCTACTTGCCAATAAGATGTACTGTGTGTATATGCCTCCAGCTGTGCGACGCACAGGAAGTGACCTCACAGCGGCAGAGGTTTGTTGTGTGACGTTTAACGCAGTTAACCGTGTTAACTTCCTCAGTAACAATAAATGACTCGCTAAGAACGCGTCGCCGTGCGACTGTTTGTGTGTCTGTTTGTGTGAGATTTCCACGTGGGATTCAATGACACGTTTCAGAAGATCAGATTGTTTTGTTTATTTACACAATAAAAGCTTTAGAAATGCCAAAATCTAATTAGGATTATTTATAATAACTGTATAAAGCTTGGAAAGGAAACAAGGAAATGTTACATTAAGTGGCCCAAAGAAATGGTCCAGGTAGCATATTATTAAAAGTTAACAAACTAATTTCATTTTCCATCTTATGTATATTAATTATATTTCATTTAATTTTATTAAGTGATTTTAATTTGTGTCTTGTTTTTGTGGGAAAAGCCCTTTGGGCCTTGTTTGCATGACAGGTTTATTGTGATCGTTTTATCCAGAAGAGGAAGAGATGGAAATCGATGCAGTAGAAACATCACAGTTGTTTCCTCCCTTTTGCTCTGAATCCTGCAGAAGAGAAACGTTTTAAAGCATCAATGAAGTACAAATACTGGGAAATGTGGGAATAAGAATAGTTCAAAGAACAACTAAAATAAAAACACTGCACATGGCTGAATAATACCGAGGCAATAGATACACATATAGATACACATGTGTTCATAATTTGAGTGAACTCACCCTTTAACAAACAAAGCTTCTTATTGGCGCTAAATGCAACGTGCAATCCACATTAAAAGCCTCTTTTCTTCTTTGTAGTAAAACTCAATTATGTTCGGGGGGGTTTGTCTTTGTGCCATAATTGCATTAAACGTCATGCGGAGACCTTTAAGCACTGAACGGGAATCAGTATTAGTTTATCCTAATCCAGTTTGCCTCATGGGACGAGGTAGAACGGAGCTGACCGGAGAACCGCGTTCAGCTGTGACGTCACAATGACGTTCCTCTCCGCGCGATCAATAGTGCAGAGGTTTGTTTAAGAGCACAATACCTTCATGTACATAAATTATATAGGTATATATATTATGTCCTTCCTCATCCGTCCACCAGGTGTCGTCTCGCTGTCCCAACGGTCACCTGGCAGCATCTCCACCTTTCAGCCCGAGACCTGCAGTAAGCTCGTGCATCCTCATCTGCATCTTAAACGTTGGGTGTTCGAATGGGTTTTATTTAAAGTCCGAATTAAGATAAATGTATTTTGAATGAGATATTTGATAGAAGGCTTCAGTTATTGAATGTGGAACAAACAAGACAAAGGTGCAAGTTGACTCTGCAAAATAATAAAATATAACAAATGAATAAACATTTTTAAAAATACAGAAGACTTTTATGTAAGATGTTGAAACAATTTAAATGGTTAAATGAGTTGAAAAAAGATCTAACAATTAAGCCCCAGAAATTATACAAATAAGAAATATAATTCATATTCTATTATTAATGAATGAAGGACATATGTAGATTAAATGAGCTGATGAGCACCAGATGTCTGCAGAATACTGATCACTTATTTTGTGTCTTTAGGCAGAACTTACACACCAATTCATGTAACAAATACATCAAAGTCGGCTTCTGGGTTCTAACGATGTCCTGGATTCATTCCATCGATCCACCAGCTGCTCTGCTAACGACACAAAATGATCTCGTTCTCTGCAGATCATTTCTCACATAGAAATACAAAGCACAAAAGATCACTCACCCATTCTCCTACTCTCTCCTTCACTCACCCAATCACTAACTCCTTTACTCACTCATTCTCTTACTCTCTCTCTCACTCCTTCACTCACCCAATCACTAACTCCTTTACTCACTCATTCTCTTACTAACTCTCTCACTCCTTCACTCACCCAATCACTAACTCCTTTACTCTCTCACTCATTCTCTTACTCTCTCACTCCTTCACTCACCCAATCACTAACTCCTTTACTTATCTCACTCATCCTCTTACTCGCTCTCTCACTCCTTCACTCACCCAATCACTAACTCCTTCACTTACTCACTCATTCTCTTACTCACTCTCTCACTCACCCAATCACTAACTCCTTTACTTACTCACTCATTCTCTTACTCTCTCACTCCTTCACTCACCCAATCACTAACTCCTTTACTTACTCACTCATTCTCTTACTCTCTCACTCCTTCACTCACCCAATCACTAACTCCTTTACTTACTCACTCATTCTCTTACTCTCTCACTCCTTCACTCACCCAATCACTAACTCCTTTACTTACTCACTCATTCTCTTACTAACTCTCTCACTCCTTCACTCACCCAATCACTAACTCCTTTACTCTCTCACTCATTCTCTTACTCTCTCACTCCTTCACTCACCCAATCACTAACTCCTTTTACTTACTCACTCACTCACTTGGTTTTCCAGACTCAGGAGACTGAACCTTTTGCCAAAACCGCTCTGCCACCACCAGGGATACAAGCTGATGGGTTGTGCCATCCCGGCAGAGCGCGCACACACTCGCACACAAACACACACACACACTTCCAGGCATTCGCGTATATACGGCGTTCAAGCATCATCTGGACAATTCCTCTGAAGGCCTTCATACCCAGGGTTATTAATGACATTACTGAGCAGACATGTGTGTGTGCATGCAGGGCACATGCCACCTACACACACACACACACACACACACACACTCACACACACTGCACGTCATGACCTTAAGCTCGCTGCATGCCTGGTCATGAATTTGGCATTTGTCCGTCATCTGTCATTAGCTTTGCCTCCGTGTCTTCCGTCTGATTCTCTGTGACCAGAGGAGTCGCCCCCTGCTGGTCACTGCAGAGAACGCAGCTTTCACTCATGAAGCCTCAACTTCACTCTTCAGTTCAGGTTGCACCATATTTTGTACAGAAGGTCATGGTTCTAAATTCCAATAAACTTAAGCCCCTCCCTCCCCATATATATATATATATATATAAAGGCGTTCTGACGTTATGTAAATGTGTACGAGAGAGTCGAAGTTGAATTAACAAACTGGTTCATCTGAGAACATCTGCAGTGTGCAACGCAGCTGGATCCCAGAGTGTGCACGCACACACACACACACACACACGCACACACACACACACACACACACAGCTTTTCAGTCTCAATCTGATGCTGCTGATTTCATGGTGGAACCATGTGGAACAACTGAATAAACAATAACAAAGACACAACACAGGCATTCCAACGGGGCAACAACAGCACTTCATTTCAGCTGAACCTTGTTGTTTTTTGGGTGGGGGGGGGCAGGAAGTGGTCCTCTGGCGGCCATCACCTGGACGAGACACTTCCTGTAACACGTGTGAGGGACGGGATGCCGCGAGGTCGACTCCGGGCGGCGCGTTTGCTGAATAATAGCATTTCGTAATGATTACGGGCCCTAATCGCACGCGCCGCGCCGGCCTGTTGGATCCGCGTTGCATTGCACATAATAAGTGCAGCTGCTCCGCTTCAGGCCGAAGGACCCGAAATAGATCAGTCAGAAAGGATCCTCTCGTGGCGCGTGGATACCAGCTCACGCGTTTAACCACAACCACGAAAGGAGGCGGCGTTTGTGATTGGTGGAGAATTCAGATCATTGACTGAAGTCAGAATGTAAAAATACTCCATGAACCTGCTTAGATGAACGTGGTAATAAGTGATGTAGCAAAATGTGCTTAAATGTTCAAAGTGAGATCATATAATATTAATATTCATCATTGAAGTTTGTACACAGTCAACAAATACAATCCAGCGGTTCCCAACCTGGGGGGTGAGGCCCCTAAAAAGGGTCACCAGATAAATGGGAAGTGTCGTGAGAGTGTTTATGCGAGAGAAGAAGAAGAAGAAGAACAAGAAGAAGAAGAAGAAGAAGAAGAAGAAGAAGAAGAAGAAGAAGAAGAAGAAGAAGAAGAAGAAGAAGAAGAAGAAGAAGAAGAAGAAGAAGAAGAAGAATGAGAGCTAAGGGATAATTTCAAACAATTCCTTGTTGGTGATTTTATGCAAAAAAGACACATCTTTTATTATATCTTTATTATATATAATACTTAAGTGTACATGTAGTACTTGAGTACGTGCACTCTGTTATTTTCCACCACTGCAACAGTACACGCTGTACAGCTCATGAATGACATTTAAGCATTCTTCTTCCTCTTTTTCTCAAAGTTCACTTCGCTGGAAATAGTGTCATCACCATATCGTCTTCAGCTGATGAGATGAGAGTGGATCGATGTAGTTAAACTGAGGTGCGGAGGGAGGGAGGGGGGGAGAGAGGGAGGGAGAGAGAGGGAGGGAGAGAGGGAGGGAGAGAGAGGGAGAGGGGGAGAGAGAGGGGGGGCTCGAGGAGGAGGCTGGCAGCGAGGAGCAGAGCAGCTCTCACACTTTCTGTCACACTGAAGCAGCTCCGATCCCGACAGAAATCAAAGAGCTGCGTTTGAGCGTCAGGTAAGAGAACTCGTTATTCTTCCATGGTCGTCTTTGAGAGTTTGGATGGTTTTGTTTTTATGACGACGTAAAACCCGTTTAGTCAGAACTTGCAGGTGGGATCGACATACGTAGCCTGAATATTCATTTAGTAATCAGTGACAGCCCAAAGCTCATCTGCAAATTAAAGAATCAAAGACTGTGGCTTTAAATTCAAATTATTATAAACCATTAACTATTGATTTGATATTTGTTGAGTATTACATTTAATTTGAAGTATCAAACACAGAAAGCTGACGTTTAACAGTCACATGCTGTGAAGCCTCGAAGATATTAGGATTAATTTCTCTTTATTCTTAATAGAACAACTGCAAATACATTTATATATATATATCATCTATTTGGGCATTATTAAACCAGTTCTTATAGATCACACGTGCTGTGAGAATATATCTTGTTCAGTATGACTTGTTGGTGGGAATAATACATAATACTGTCATAATAACAACTTGTTGTTTTGATATCGGTTTTAGACTTTAAAGGTGCCAGTTGGCAGATTTTGTCTCCTTCTTTGGACCGCTGCTGCTTTTTCGGCGTTTCAGCTATGCTAAGCTAACCAGCTACGTATTTAGCATACAAACCGCTAGTTTGAACTTGGGACAGGAATCAATCTTACGCTAAGCTAAACTAAGCTAAGCTAAGCTAAGCCGTGTCCTGGCTTCAGAATTTGTAGTACTGATTTTTATCTCATAACTCGCATGAAGAAATCCAAAGAAAGTGTTTCCAAAGACATCCACGATTATCTGTTCAGATAAAAGTGCCGCCTGCACAGCTGAGACGTCTCCGTCTCCGTCTCACAGTCGCCGGTCGTCTCCGGAGGAACCGGCAGAGAGTGATGGAGCTCCTGTGTGTGTGTGTGTGTGTGTGTGTGTGTGTGTGTGTGTGTGTGTGTGTGAAATTGATTTGCAATAAACGCTCACTTTTTTTATTTGGCTCTATCATCCCCGTCCACAGTAGATTGTTGTTGACCCCCCTTCCCATGCTCCCTGAAATCCCTGCTGAATGTTCCTTTTGACCCCCAATCAGCCGTATTGACTGAAGGGGGTGGGGGCGGTTGGGGGGGGGGGCAGGATGCTGACCGATGCAACGATGGTCAGATAGCTGAGCAGAAGCAATTCGATGGCCTTTTCCACCGAGTTTGTGCTTTTTCTGACACTTTGGCATCAAAGACTTAATTGTCTTGAGTGCAGCAAACGTCTCCGCTGCAGAATAACTGCTGCTGGGGATCGAGGTCAATGAGACGCCGCGTGCTTACGCCGACGTGACCCGGTTTGCTTTGAGAGTCCGATGAGCCTGGAAGGAGGAGGTTAAGAAAGGTTTTACTCTGAGTGACAGCAGGTGTGAATGGATGAATGGATGGATGGATGAATGGATGGATGAATGGATGAATGGATGGATGGATGGATGGATGGATGAATGGATGAATGGATGGATGGATGGATGAATGGATGGATGGATGGATGGATGGATGAATGGATGAATGGATGAATGGATGGATGGATGGATGAATGGATGGATGAATGGATGGATGGATGAATGGATGGATGAATGGATGGATGGATGGATGAATGGATGGATGAATGGATGGATGAATGGATGGATGAATGGATGAATGGATGAATGAATGGGATGGATGGATGAATGGATGAATGGATGGATGGATGGATGGATGGATGGATGAATGGATGGATGGATGGATGAATGGATGAATGGATGGATGTTGTGACTTCACGTCCCGCCAAAGACTTGTGTGAATCACCTTTTTCCTCGTCGTCTTTTCTCTTCTAACTGGACCTTAAAGGGACAGTTCACCATCTTTTCAATGTGGATGGTTGTAAATGCTGAATGTAGTGAAACGATAAATGAGAAAAACAGCCACCAGTATATTTGACCACTAGAGTTTTTCTTCATGCATTTTGCCGTTGAAGCAGATGTTTGGGTCACCATCTTTTTATTTTGCAACTCGCCCAACAAGAAGTGACCACATCTGGACCGGGGAGGACGTAGACGTGACGTATACTACTTTCCAAATGGTCCTTTCAAAGTATTTCTGCACCTTACTTTTGAGTAATATATCTAATTAATGTGCTTTAAATGATGTTTTATTACTTGCAGACTGGTGATACAAAGTCTAATTAGAATTTTCTCAAAAGGTGCTTTGTAACTAACGTATAAATAAACCCAGCACACACTCATCATGTTTAAGGTGATAACAGTCAGAGGTTTCATGACTGTTGGCAGATTTCAGACAGGCCCGGTCCATTTTAAGCAGATTAAATTACCTCTTTCCTCACAAAACGTTTCACGTTTTGGGTGAAATCCATTCTGATCGAATCCATCAAAGCGATCAACTGAAATTTTCCCGTTTTTCCCATCACTCCCATAAAGGACCGCTGGCCGTGAGCTCATTCAGTCGAGCGTTCAGCAATTTGAACGGTTGAAAAACGGTAATTGACTTTCCTCCTCCTCAGATCTGCAGCTGAGGCAATATTGTTTTCCTACGCCGGGGAATTCTCTCGGAGGGGGGGGGGGGGGGCTGCACCAACCCGCTGTGGCCCCGAGTGTTGGAGAAGCTATATATCACAGTGTGTGTGTGTGTGTGTGTGTGTGTGTGTCGCAGAGTCAGTAAGCTGCAGAAACCGCTGTGACTGTATTTTACACGCTGCGATATGTCGCCTCTGCGTGACCTGGATGTTCCGTCAGGAGCCTCAGGGTGTGGATCTCTGACACACATCTCCAACCAGCAGCAACACGAGCAGCAACACGACGCCGACGCTTCACGTGTTGAAGCTGCATTCTGCGCGGTGACCAGCAGGGGGCGACTCCTCTGCTCCCCATAGACGTCCACGAGAAAACGACTCCACTTCTCCCTTGATTCATTCCCTGAAGTGTTTGGTTGCACGAACGCCGTCTCACTCAGCGTTGTGCTCAGCGCCTCCTCTTTGTGCAACTATTGAGAAAAAACAAGATGGCGCCGGCGAAAAGGCCGCTGGGATGGAAGGATGAACGCTCGCTCCTCTCTCGCATCCAGGGTGTTGTTGGTCCTCCCATGACCTCGTTTCTCCTCATTATTCCGTCTCTCCTTTACTTCGGCAGCTGACTTCCTCCTCGCTAAGTCGTACCCCCCCCCCCCCCCCCCCCGTCTCCCCCCCACCCCACACGGGGAGGTGGATAATGAGCCTGAGGTCTGCATTCTGCTCGGAGATGCTTCAGCACACGGACCCAGAGGTGGTTTCGTCCCCCCACCAGCTGCTGATTACAACCCCGTCAGGCCTGTTCCTCTGCCGGTGATTGGCGCGGCTGGCCGGTGAAATCCAGACCCGTTGCTTCCAAAATTACCTTTTGTGAGAGAGGACGGGAGTTTAAAGGGAGAGGGGGAGAGAAAGAGAAACGGGGGGATTACTTTCAACAAATTGCAGGGTTTCATAGTCCATCAGTCCTAAACCCGCGACGCTGGAGCTGTCGTCTCTGTGAGGCTCAGTGGCGCTTTGAGCGCGATGTCACGGTGTGCGGACACGCTGATGGTCAGCAGGTACAATGCAGAGTGCGCCGTGTTCTCATGCTAAGTAGAGTACACGCCGTGCAGCCGAAGGCCGCCCAGAGTTTCATTAGTTTTGCAGGATTCTGGTCATGAATCGAAAAATGAAACGTCAAAGAATCACCAAAGTCACTGCAATTCCTCCCACAGGAAAAGGCCATTTATTCAATAGTGAGTGAGATGCTTCTATCTGAACCACAGGACGGTACGAGTCCTGCAAACGGGCAAACCGCTGCTTCAAGCCCGATGCTAATGTAGCACGCTAACCAGCTCACAGAGACAACGGCGAACGCTTAACCGAGCTCGCTGTCTTCTTTCAGCATGTTAGCATGTTAGCATGCAGACGTTTGTGATTCCGCGGTGACCACGTTGTGCAGATCGGGCCGTCGGGACAGATGGGCGTCGTGACCTTGGTGGCGGCGCTTGAGAACAAAGTGGCGATTCTAGATTCTAAAGCCCACGTTGCTCCGGTAGCACGAGCTCGACCGCCTGCTTTCATCCTGCGACCTACTTGTGTCTTTCACCATCGCATGTTTTGTTGTTTTGCCCCCGCACACACACACACACACACACACACACACACACACACACACACACACGCACACACACACACACACACACATGTGCACACACACACTGCTGGACTGAAGAGCAGATTACCCAGGAGTCATTTGGATGTATGAATGTGAGTCAGAATCATCACACGGGGGACAAAGTGGCGCTGAGGCCTCTTTGCAGAACTAAGCTCCGTGAGCTGCTTCCTCAGGAGTGTGGCGAGCCTGAGTGGGGGGAGGATGGGGGGAAGATGGGGGGAGGATGGGGGGGGGGGGTCTCCTCCTCTGAATATTCCAGAAGGTTCCTCTGGTTTCCCTCTGCTCGGCGCTCGTGTGTTGGCAGATGAACTCGGGAGGGAACAAACTGACGGTGATGCAAATGAATGTTAAACTGGGGGGGGTCACGAAGAAGAAGCTGCGTATGATATTAACAATTACTTTGCATGTGCAGCGCGTTCATCTGAAGGTCCTCCGGTGGATGATCGAGCTACAAGACAATGGAATAAAATGTTTAACACGGCTTCCTTTGTCTTAACCCAAATATAGAAATCAGCAGACAAAAAAACACGAGGTCGCCGTTTTCGAGTCTATATATTTCCAACATTTTAGCGACGCTCTATTTTTACCTCTAAATATTTAGATGATCTGAGGTGAACCCGTCGGATCTTCACGCCGTCGTAAATACGTCACATTCAAATCACAACCCTGTTTTGACCCCCGATGAATTCAAATATGGATGAGAAACATTTACATTAGCTTCAAACCTCAGATGACAAAGATTTCCCTGATGAGTACCTCCTCGAATAAAGTATTAAAATGTTCTTTCATTTGTTTACGACCAGCACATTTTTCCATAAGCATGAATATGAAACATGTGAATGAAGTGGAAGCGGCCTGAAGGCCTCGGCGGGACGAGACGCACCGGAGGATGACGCAATCCGTCAGAGGTTTTCTCCCCGCAGCGCTCACACACACACACACACACACACTCTGACGTGAATCACACAGTGTGTGTGTGTGTGTGTGTGTGTGTGGGGGGGGGGGGGGGGGGGGGGCTCACCTCTTTATCTTCCCCCCTCTCTCTTTGGAGGGAGAAAGCCCCCCTGTTTCTTTTTTTTTTTGGGAGTTTGAGAGGGATTTTTCCCGGCACGGACACCGGGGGTAAAAGACCCCCCCACCGCACGCTGTGTGTGTGCGTGTGTGTCTGTGTGTGTGTGAGTGTGTGCGTGTATGTGTGTGTGTGTGTGTGTGCATCTTTGGCATGTCAATTTGTACTAATGTCAATGGCAGGTTGTGGATGGTTATAATTAGAGATTCTTTACTGCACTCACTGGCAGACAGACAGACAGACGGACAGACAGACAGACGGACAGACAGACAAGTAGAGAAATGGACACAGACGCAGACAAAGAGACAAACAAGAAGACGGAGAGGTTGGATGGAGACGCAGACAAGCAAACAGAGCGTCAGGCAGACGTCCTGAGAGACGGACAGACAGACGGATGAAGAGCTGAGAGACGGAGGACAACAGCCCTCACTAAGTTGTCCCCTTCTGGCCCGTCCCGCCGTTGGACGGGGTAGAAGAAGACTCTGGTGCCCTGTGAGGATGTTCTCATGCACCGACGAGCTTTGAGCCAAACGCCGACACGTTGGTGTTAGCAGGTCTGTTAGCATGTTAGCATGTGGAGCCTGCTGCCGTGTTGAGACCGTTAAAGTTGCGTTTTTTGCGATGCATGATGTTCAGACGTTAAAGCCCCTTGAGGAGAATCAGTGGATCGTTTCTGTATGGACACATTCTACGTGACATTTGACCCCTGGGAGCCGTGAACATGTGCACAAAGTGAAATGATGATCTATTTCTCTTTTAATCCAATCACGTCTTCCAGCTGCTGGCGCCAGAGGAAAAGTCAATAGGGTTCATCCTCTGGAAACCACGCACGGCTGTAGATGACAGTGAGGATTCCTCCTCGGGGCCACGCTGTCAACCTTTTTCCAGAGGTTACGATTTTTTGAATCCGTCTCTAATGTACATGAAAACTACTGAGCGACAGGAACACAAGTTATGACCCATAATGTGAAATGGACACACGCACACGCACACGGCACTAACACAGGTGTGTGTAAGTGCCTCTGCTCCCCGGAGGCCGTTCAGCCGCCGCGTCGACCGGCGCCATAAAGCAGCTGTAAATCACAGTGCCCGTGGCGTGGTCTCCTCAAGAGGTGCTCGAAGGAAACGGCATCCTCCCCCGGGCAGGTGAATGTACCAGTAGTAGTACTGCTGAGTACTGCTGAGTACTGCTGAGTACTGCTGAGTACGTCCTCCGCGTGTGAAGCGTCCCTGTCCTCTGACTTTGAGGATCACCGTCCCGCTGCAGAGCTCATCGACCCGCCGGCCCGTCAATAGTCAGTTGTGCACGTGAGAGTGAGGAAGAGGAGCAGCGTAACTCTTATTTACGGCCCTTCGGTTGGGGGGGAAAGTGGTGTGCAAGCGACCGTTGAAAACATTTAGCTCAGGGTGGATTTGTACTAAATATTCAGTGGTAGCGGCGCCCATTATTTATTTCTTCCTCCTCTTTTTTTACACGACATCACATGTCATTTAGCTGACGCTTTTATCCAAAGCGACAATAAGTGGATTTCAACCATAAGGAAGCAAACCCAGAACAAGAAAGTGCAATTTCATCAAAAAGCAGATTTACAACTTGCTATAAGAGTCATTTTAAGTACAATTTAAGTGCTACAATCTTTTTCATCTACTTGTGTTTCTCCTCATACTTCTACTTCTTCCTATTACACTTCTTTCTCTTCTTTGTCTCTTTCCAGCTGTTCTTCTTTCTTTCAACTGACGCTTCGTCCATAATTCACTAAATGAACATCAAGTCCTTTTCTCATAGACGTCTATGGGAGCAGAGGAGTCGCCCCCTGCTGGTCACTACAGAGCAGTAGAGTCATTTCCTCATAGACGTCTATGGGAGCAGAGGAGTCGCCCCCTGCTGGTCACTACAGAGAAGTAGAGTCATTTCCTCATAGACGTCTATGGGAGCAGAGGAGTCGCCCCCTGCTGGTCACTACAGAGAAGTAGAGTCATTTCCTCATAGACGTCTATGGGAGCAGAGGAGTCGCCCCCTGCTGGTCACTGCACAGAATGCAGCTTTAACACGTGAAGCAGCCACTTCGTTACACCGGAATCCTCTTTCCTTTCCTGCGGTCAGTTAATGAAGTCGATGAAAAACTTCCTCCAGTGAAATAATCAGCTAATAAAGAGTTTTTATTTGGTATTGTTAATTAATGAGTCAATAAGTGCTAATTTCATTTCAATAATGTAAAAAAATGCAAATCCCTCTTAATACATTATTTTTTTGTAACTGCAGTGATTTGATGCATAATGACAGTGTGTGTGTGAATGTGTGTGTGTGTGTGTGTGTGTGTGTGTGTGTGTGTGTGTGTGTGCGCCCGCTATTTGAGTGGTGACTCACAGCCTGAAAGGATCTGATATTTCAGAACATTTCCTTTCTTACAGACCCCACCCTTTCTGGACCCTCCAAGGCAAACACACACACACACACACACACACACACACACACACACACACACACCCACAGCTGTCAATCCGTCAGGTTTCCACATTGTCCACAATGATTGCGACCCCTGACATTTACTTGCAGCGAGGACAGAGGACGGGAAGGAGGGAGATGAGGAGGCTGAGGCCCTGAGCCGTATCTGGTTGAGTATTCAGACTCCCTGAAATGATATTGACAGGTTCATGCAACAGCCCCCCACCACCCCCCCGCTTATAAATAGGAGGTCAAATCTGCTCACAATGGAGAGGACATGGCGCATAATGTTACATCATTAAATACTTTCTCTACATGACCCTCGGCCTAAGGTCTCCTCTGCAGGGGTCCGGCAGAGCAGCGAGGTGTCGTCCGTGCTTGGAGGGCGGGGGGTGTGTGCTTGGTTAGGACCAGCGGCGGGAACGTCGAGGTCACGCCTTCCTCGCCAACGCGGTCAGGAGATAACGAGCGCTCGGGGCGTGCACGTCGCAGGCCAGACTCCCGCAACGCGTTGCACTGACAGTCGGCTGCAATTAACGCCTCGTGCATCACGTCACCGGCAGATGTTTGAGGAGCCGAAAGGAATCACGGGTCATCAAACACGTCGCAGCTCCCAGGAGGAGCCTGTGCACATTACACATATGTATGATAACACACACACACACACACACTCTTGATCTCTTTGTTTATGCAGAACTTGCAGGAATAGAATAGAAAAATGTAAATATCATATTTCAGTCTCATCTGCTCAGATTTACTGTTTGAGATCCACGAGGGCTCATAAGCACCAAACACTGATAACGTATGACATTCATGTAAAGTGGGGAAGACATTATTGTCTCGTCACCCACTTGGGAGCTTTTGTCTTTGACAATGTTTGCAGGAGTCCAAAATGTCTCCAGCTGTGCCCCCGTCCTCACCCTGTCTCCTTAGCGAGACACGTTCTGGAGATCTCTTTGTTGTCTGAGTGTGTGTGTCTGTGTGATTGTAGGATCGGCTTGGACGATGGACGCGGAGGAGCTCACGGATGAGGAGAAGGAGATCATCAACAGCGTGCTGGCCCGCGCGGCCGTGATGGAGGCCACGGAGCACCAGAGGATCCAGTGAGAAACCCCTTTCCACACAACGCAGAGGTCCTCTGAGTCAAATCATTCCTACTTGTTAAATCTTGTGCACTTGTTTTTCTGTGTGTTTGCGTCGCGTCCTCCAGGCGTCTCTCCAGCCGCCTGGAGGACATCCGGAGGACGGCGCGGGGGGACGGCCGGTCGCACTGTCTGCTCTGCGGGGCGTCCTTGGGTCCGCAGGGGGTCACGGCGGCGCTCTGCGTGCGGTGCAATAAAGTAGGTGGTCTGTAGTTTTCACTCCTCGGGTAGAGGTCTCCTCTGGTGGGGGTCTCACCCCACTACGACAATCAATAGTCAATAGTTCAATAATCAATAGTTATTATTAGTGTCAGATCAATCAGTAATTATATTCTACATTATATTTGACAGTCGAACAGTTGCAATAACTACCTGTTATACTCACATACCCTGACCGTATTAACATTTAGTGGTATTACTACGGATCTGAATAGTTCCTCCACTGGGCGCTGATGCACGTTTTTACATCTTTGCAGCACATGTGCAGCCAATGTGGGATCAACGGCAGCAGCAGGACGAGTCCTGTGTGGCTGTGCAGGATCTGCAATGAGCAGCAAGAGGTGAGAGGAAGAGACGAGATGAAGAGGCAGAGCTTCATTAAATCATGGCGCTCAATTTACTCCATTATGCCCCCCCCCCTCCGTGGTATGAACCATTTTCATGCTTTTAGCACAGAATCGCGTTCCACTGACCTGGGAAATCACCTCCCATTGACACTGTCCCAATATCCAAAAGATGATTTATTTTCTATTTTAATTCTAGAAAACACAGCTTTCGTATATTTGGTCAGTATGAAAGCAGGAGAATACGAGCTCTCTGCTTCCCTCGCTGATGCTGTTTTCACGATGGAGCTGCCGCTTTGTGGAGGTTGCTTCCTCTGGGACTCTTTACATCAATGCTCCCTCCTGTCAGTCACACGCAGAATAACTACTTGGTAATGCGGCCAAATGCAAAGTGCGTCTAATAGGGACGGAACAAACAGTTGTCCCTGTTGATGAAACACATCATCCAGTCTATATTTATGTGTGAAGTTATAGAAGATCTGAAGATGGACCTCCTCAGTCTCCAACCGCAGTTCCACTATCGGCCACTAGAGGCTCCAACCGCAACATCTCAGCTTTTCTCTTGTTGAACAAAACTTTCTCCCAAAGTAAATAAGGTCAAAGGAAACCGCTGCTAACTGCTTTGCTTCTTTCATTATAAGTCTAATAAATCCTTAACAGCAGATGTTTTGGACCATTTGGGGGCAGCAGAAAAACCGCAGAAAACCGTCTGCTGCGTGTGGTTCTGCAGGTACAGAAGCGCTCTGGAGCTTGGTTCTTCAAGGGAAGAGTCCAGCAGGCTCTGCCCGACCCGCTGCCTCTGTCCGGGCCGCCGCAGTCCGGCACCGAGGACGGTTCTGGTCCCCGGGAGCCTCATCGGGGATACGGTGCGACAATGAACACGTGTACTCTTGGTACTTTTAGGTGTATTTGGATCCCGATACCTGCGTACTTTCACCTCACTAAGGGTTTGAACGTTGGACTTTTACCTGGTGATACTCTCTGTTCTCATGTTGTTCTCATGTTGTCCTCAGAGACGGCCAGGACAACAGCCGAGGGCCATGACGAGGGTCCTTCCTGTCCCGCCGTGGGGACGGAAACCGAGAGACCCGCCTCCAAACCACCCGGAGCCAACGCACAGCAGGTGGCCCTCGCCTCAGGTAAAGCAGCCGCCCCCTCCTGTGAGACAGCCGAGGACTCGCGTTAGAGACCCGGTGGGAGCAGACGGCTTCAGACACGGTTGATTGCTCCTGCTGCAGGTGTGGAAAACAAACGCCCCGGGAGGGAGGAGACGGCGTGGCCTCCAGCTGCAGAGGAGAAGAGACCACCGCGTGTTCCCGCCACCAGAACCGATCCACCGGGCAACGGCACGGCCCCCCCGCAGCCCCCACCGGACCGGACGGAGGACTCGGACGACTCGGACGACTCCAGTGAGACTCGAACCAAACTGCTGCTTCACGGGAGGAGGACGTCTTTCCCCAGATGTGTCCCCTGATCCGCGGTGTGTTTGACGTGTTTCTGTTTCCCGCAGCCACTCTGGGATCTCTGGAGTTCAGCCTCCTGTACGACCAGGAGCACCACGCCCTGCACTGCTGCATCGCCAGGGCCAAGGTGAGGGGACGGGGTGAGACGGGACCACAGGGAAGAAGACAACGTGGGACGAAATAAGACAAGAAGAGACAAAACTAAATGGATTAAGGCAAACCATGATGAGATAAGAAAAGACAGGATGAGATTAAAAAACAAAAGAAGAGACAAGACGAGAAATGACAAGAAAAAAAAGACTAGACGAGACATTTAAAGACGAGACAAGATGTGAAGTAAGGAGTCAAAACAACACGAGGGGTATCGATTATGTGTAAATTAGATTTGGATGTGGAGGACATAAGAAGGTTCGATCGCGTCCTGATTCTAACCCTCGTCCCCCTCGCCGTGTCTCAGGGTTTAAAGCCGATGGACTCCAACGGGCTCGCCGACCCGTACGTGAAGCTGCACCTCCTACCCGGAGCCAGTAAGGTACGATCGCGTTAACACCTCAGGTCCATCATTTTAAAACGGTCACTCTGTTCATTTTGTCCCTCAGTCCAACAAGCTTCGCACCAAGACCCTGAAAACCACCCTGAACCCGGCGTGGAACGAGACCCTGGTCTACCACGGCATCACCGACGACGAGATGTCCCGCAAGACTCTCCGGTGAGAACCACCCCGCCTCCCCTTCCCCTTGGGGACCGGTCCCACGAGACAGAGTCTCACCAGGCACGCCTGTCCCCCTCCCCCCACTTGTCCCCTTATCAGGCTTTCGGTGAGCGACGAGGACAAATTCGGACACAACGAGTTCATCGGGGAGACGCGGGTCGCTCTGAAGAAACTGAAGTTCAACCAGAAGAAGAACTTCAGTGTGTGTTTGGAGCGAGTCGTCCCGGTGAGTCGGTCGCCGTTGGGGGGGGGGTCTCGCTGCGTGACGCATCAGGGTTTAACCTCCCGGGATGTTCTGCACGCAGGTGAAGAAGGCGGTCGGAGGGTCGGTCCGGGGCATGGCGCTCTACGAGGACGACGTACGTCTCCCTCCCAACATCTGGGTCCTTGAAAAGGCCAAAACGGACAGTGAAGGAATGATTAATGGCCGTGTTTCTGCAGGCCAACGAAGCTGAGGATTCAGAGGAGAGGGGTCGCATCCTGGTGTCGTTGACCTACAGCAGCCAGCAGGGTCGCCTGATCGTGGGCGTCGTGCGCTGCGCTCACCTCGCCGCCATGGACTCCAACGGGTACTCCGACCCGTTTGTCAAAATGTACGCACTCCGCTCGGGCTGAATCCTCCCGACCGCCAGACACCACATTTTTTGGGGGGGGAAATGCGCTTTTTCAAAGATGTCTAACGGTACAAATGTTTCTGTGCTGCAGATGTCTGAAACCAGATATGGGGAAGAAAGCTAAAAACAAGACCCAGATCAAAAAGAAGACCCTCAATCCAGAGTTTAATGAGGTCTGGTTTACCTGAACTTTACCGCCATCTTCTCACCCAGATCTCTGTGTAATAACAGTCCATGTTTCCTTACTGTGTTTCAGGAGTTTGGTTATGAAATAAAGCACGGTGAATTAGCCAAGAAAACCCTTGACATCTCGGTGTGGGACTACGACATGGGGAAGTCCAACGATTTCATTGGTGAGTGGCTCTCTGATCACATTTCCTCATCTGATCCTAAAAATGTGTCGTCTTTAGGGATGGAAGGGTCTTCTGGTTGGTCCATCCACCACTGTAGACCACACTGAAACGGGGCTATTTGATGGATCGCCATAAAGTTTGACATTCACAACCATGGTCCCCTCAGGAAGAACTGCAATGTCTTTGGTGATCCTCTATATTTGTGTCATTGGGTTAAGACTTCTGTGTTGGATGCTAACAAGAACATGTTAGAGCGTTACCACGCTAACCTAAAGGCGGTGAACCAACGATGCGTGTTGTACCTTCCAAACGTCAGCGCAGTAGCTGCTCATGGGTACGTTGACCTGCTAACGTGTGCGTGCTGACCTTCCTGTCCGCCTGCAGGAGGATGCCAGCTGGGCATCCAGGCCAAAGGGGAGTGTTTGAAACACTGGTACGAGTGCCTCAAGAACAAAGACAAGAAGATCGAGCGCTGGCACGTCCTGCTGAATGACAACAGCGCGCAGTTTGAGGATTAACGCGCCTCCCCTCCGCTCCTCCGGCCATCGTGTTGTCCAATGTTGTCTTCCTGTGACGGTAGACGGAAACCATCCTCCATCTTCTACGTAGTTTGTCCCCAAAGTTGCGATGTGCACGCTACATTGTCCGCCAGCTTTCAGGTGACCAACATGGATGTCGACCTCGGGGCTCTTTTCACGACTGAACTTTTTTTCAATGTTGTTATCAAACCATAAAGTGTATCATGTAATAAATGAAGCGTACCTGACTATGATTGAATGGAGGCGTTACGGAGACGATACAGCCCCCTGTTATCATTGTCGTTAACACAGTATGTTGTAATGAATAGTGCCTGCGGGCTCGGACCCATCACAGGAAATCCCCCCTTTCTCCTGACCTCGTGTTGATCCGTGTGCATGGGATCATGTCACGCGTGTCAGCTGACCTGTGTTATTGTACATCACACATTAAATATTAAGAGGGACGATGGCAGATGTTTGATGTGAACAAACTCATTTCATGTTGTTGTTGATGTTTAATGTCTTCACCTGTGCATGTGTGAGCTTCTTGGATTAAGCAACGTCCCCAAAAAATGCATTAAAAATATTAAATGATGGCGGGTTCACAATGATGCACGTCATATTGTAGCGTCCACATGGCTGATGAATAAAGACATCGTGGCACTTACTTCCCCTCCTCTGTCTACTTGAGATGTGTTGGCAGAAAACTTTGCCTCCATCAGGTGAGGTTTGAGCCAATCGGCTCAGACAGACAAAGATCTCTGTGAACTTTGACTTCTTTTGATAAAACTCGCCTTCTGGTCCAAGTGGGGGAAAGTTTACGGGAGCTGCTCTTTTGTTGCCGCATGAGATCTAATCTACCTCTTTCATTCGTAGTGAGATCGGTTTCGTGTGAGGAAAAGGAGGAACAGTAGTGGAAATCGACACTTTGCCGACTTTATGTGCATATCAAGTTTTATCTTTTACAACTGATTCCAGTGATCATTTTGCTTCTAAAGGAATCTAACAGTTTGTAAAGGGACAGGAAGCAGGTGTCTGTCTGACTGCATGAGAGGAGCCAGATGAATCGGCCCAGATGAGCAGAACGGTGGATGACGTGTGTCACATCCCATTTGTAAATCAATACGTATCAGTGTGGGTAAATCTGTCAGTCTGTCAGTTGCTTGCGCTAATCGATATCTTATGGTTACTACCGGAGGGCGTGGGGGAGGAAGGGGAGGGGGGGGGGGGGGGTGATGATGGTGATGATGTTTGGCCGAACCGACTGGTCACGTGATCATGGCTGATTTGGCCGTGGTGTTTACTCAATCTCCCGCGCGCATCCGCCCCTGAGTCTGGTTTAAAACCGGGACGGAGTCCTCAGAGAGCGACGGAGTGTCTTCAGGCGTAACGGGCTCCTCGGCCTCTCCATCCACTCCGACGCGCCGCCATGACGCACGTCGCGCCTCTCCTCTGCGCCGTTCTGCTGTCCTCGCTCCTGATCCCGGCCGCCGCGGAGACCTCCGTCCTCTGCCTCTGGACGAAGGTTCTGCTGAATGCAGAGGTGCACCGCAGTTTCCTCCGGGGAGACCCCGGGCGGGCCTCTCCATCCCTGCGCCTCTACCACGGCGCCTGGTCCGAGGAGGGCGCTCCGCTCAGCTGCGCCTGGAGCGACGACGCAGCGGTGATCCACGACTACTTATCCGCGTGCCAGGAGCGCGCGCACGAGTTTTCCGGTGCCGCGGATGGAAACATCGACGCGGAGTCCATGTTGGAGGCGGACCAGCCGTGCGTCTCCGTGGACTCTCTGGAGCGCGCGGGCAGGTCGGTGAGGAGCATCCGGGGACACACGGCAGCTGACAATGATCAAGGTCAAGCTGAAAGCTCAGAGGTCAGCGGCCATCAGCGCGTAAAGCGCGGGTTCATTGTGCCAGGAACTCTGTGGTGCGGATCTGGCAACAAGGCGCCTTCATACGCAGATTTGGGTACGTTAGTTTCATCCGTTATTTGATGATTGTGTAGATCAATCACAAGGTGATTAAAAGGATGATGCAACTCAACAGTCAAGCAACATTACTGTGACTCAAAAGCAAACTACAAACAAAAGTGTTGAGTTCCTTTCTTATGAAAGCAAAACAGACTTGAAATGTTCATGTCTTGTGGCATTAAATGATCGACATGCAAACTGATCTGTGAGTCTCTCTTAATAACCTAAATACTTTTGTAATGGCCCAGTGGACATGGACAAAGCAGGATCCTTTTTAAGATAAGATCATTTTTTATTGGTCCAGCAGTGGGGAAATTCACAGGATCACAGCTGCAAAGAGTAAAGTGCAAACAGCCATAAAAAACAGATCAAAACAGTTATTATAAATAAACAAAACAAGAATCCTAAATGAAATGTTGTACATACAAACATAGCTAGCAGCACTAGCTCCAAAAAAAGCTCCAAGAAGTCACCACGTCTGCAGCAGTGACAGCCCGTCCCTCCAGGCCTCCCCCTAAAATGACCATAATGAAGCAGAATGTTGTAACAGAAAGGGTGAAAAATCACGTCTCAAGTTTTCATTACCCATCTCTTGAATTGCGATCAGATTGTGGTTCTATCACAACTTCGCATTTGATCCCGACTGCGTTCCTCCTGCAGGGGTTTTTTCAGATACCGACAGCTGCTGCCGTGAACACGACCAGTGTCAACACACCATCCTGTCCTTCCACTCCCAGTTCGGCGTCTTCAACAGCAACATCTTCACCATGTCTCACTGCGACTGCGACAGCAGGTCGGCACTCGCACCTTCAAACGAAAAGCACGCCCAGTCGGGGCCCATTCGGGGCCCATTCGTTCGGTTTCCTTTGATGCTTTCTCTTGAACCAAAGCCATTGGTGCCGCAGGTTTCACAGCTGTCTGATGGAGGCGGACGACAGCATAGCTGATGTGGTGGGGTACACCTTCTTCAGCCTGCTGAAGATGCACTGCTTCGAGTTCTCCCACCGACTCCAGTGCACCGAGAGGAACTGGTTCGGCATGTGAGTTCTCATTTTCTCAGGAAATACGGAACATTGCTACCACTCACGTGTCTGAATGATAAATAGCTAGAGCATGTGTGAGCATAGCATGGCTTCTAGGCATGTTAGCGTAGCACACTTTAGCTTAGCTTAGCAGGAAGACTGGAAACAGAGGTAATCAATAGCATTTGTTTTGTAGTTGTTGGTCGTGCTGGCTGAGGACATAGCCCAGTTTGCGGTTTCACCCACGTATCCAGTCTTTATGCTAAGCTAATGCTAACTGGCTAGTGCTATAGCTTGTTGTTTATTCAACTTTCTCATGTAGCAGTAAAGCAAACAAGTGTAGCTACGTCATTAGATACGAGTCATTTCAATCATTCCCCCCTGTTGTGACCCCCCAGGTGTAAGGAGACTGAAATGTCTCTCTACGCTGTGGTGCAGCCGCCCACGCCGTACGACTCACCCGATCCCACAGAGCTCAGCGTGAACGGCTCCTCCACAAACACCGGCGTACCCACTGGGACGTCACCTACACCCTCGCCGGGGTCCCGTCCAGCCCCCGTCACGACTGCCACTACCGTCACCCCCGTCACCAACATTACCAGCGTTACCAACGTTACCAGCGCCCCTCCCATCACCACCATCACCCCCATCACCAGCGTTACCAACGTTACCAGCGCCCCTCCCATCACCACCATCACCCCCATCACCACCGTCACCCCCTTCACCACTCCCACTACCGTCACCCCCTTCACCACTGCCACTACCGTCACCCCCTTCACCAACATTACCAGCGTTACCAACGTTACCAGCGTCCCTCCCATCACCACCATCACCCCCATCACCACCGTCACCCCCTTCACCAACATTACCAGCGTTACCAACGTTACCAGCGTCCCCCCCATCTCCACCATCACCACCATCACCACCATCACCAACATTACCACCATCACCAACATTACCAGCCGTACCAACGTCCCCCAAATCACCAGCCTTACCAGCGTCACCAGCGTGGCTGCATCCACATCACACAGACTCACAGCGCCTGAGAGAGGAAACGGTCTCAGGAACACTTTACCTGCCAAAAAACCAGCTGAGTCCGGGCTGAATTTCACAGGTATTTTTTAATGCGTCTCCTGTCTCATAAAAGTTCGCTTCTCATGCAGCAGAACCGCATTGTGAATTATGTTGAGAGGATCTTGCATCAACTTTGTACACAGAGAAGCAGCCGTCATGCTCCGTCTACAAGGACCTCGATGAGTGCAGCAACAAGATCCCCCCCCAGCAGGAGGAACATGGCCTCTACAACGCGGAGGCCAGGACGCTGTACCAATGCGACTGTACCAGCAGGTGACACAAGACAACACGGACGATTCAGATGTTTATTTGTTAGCATCACGAGGCTGAATTCCTGTCAACACGAAGTAGTCAGTAGTATCCTGACATTTAAAGTGAGGCCATTTAAAACATTACAGTGCTACTGGCGGAGTTCATGGAGGCGAGGTGGTAACGTGGCGTGACGAGTCACCCCTCGGAAGTAGGCCACCAGCACACTTACATAAGGTGTGCGGCTGCTCTGGATTTGCACCGAATCGATTCGACGGCCTTGGACATTATCATAATCTCATGTTTGCGCACACGTTTGGTTTCTCTTTGCCGTGTCCGTGGGTCACCGGCGTGTCGGTCTGTCCTCACCAGATTGTTCCAGACTTTGGCGGGACAGAGACGACTGAGCGAAGTGCAGGACGTGCTGCTGGGACGCGTCTCTCTGGCCTGCTTCCTGTTACCAGACTGCTCAGAGGACGAGATGTAAGTGATGGAGAAAGTATCAACACCAATACACAATGTGCACATACAACTGCATGTAGAAACACAAATTCTCTATCCAAGTAAAAGAAGTGTTTTCACCTAAATGCACTTTAAGGAATGTCAGTAAAACTAATCAGATGATTAATTGGGGAGAAAAATATGTATTTTTTGGCGTATTTTCTCTTGGAAATATGTATTTATTTCCTTTTAGAAGTGTCAAATGTCTCCCTCACACACATCTGAAATCTGAAACACCACAATATTTGTAATTGTTTGGAAGCAAAAAGGGTTCAATCTACAATCTAAAATTCTATAATGTAGAGTCAAACTTAAAAGGGGTTGTTCATAAAATTCAGAGCAGTACAAATAAAAAGGGTGGTGAAATATAGTGCAAATACATTTCAAGTACTGATGACTTTGAACTCTTGGTCCAATAGGTCCAAAACTGGGATTAATTAATAATTACTGCTGACTAATGTAAGAGGAACATTTACATTTATTTTTTGTTCTTTTCACAAAACAAAACAAACAAAATATCGCAGGAGTTTGATTTCAGAACTGCTACTACTTTAAAATCTCTAGTAACTGTGGCCGTCAAATGAATGTAAGGGAGTAAAAAGTACAACATGTCCCTCAGAATGTTCACCATATACCTGTAGAAGGCAAAGTTACAGCCCGTTCCGTCTCCTTCGTTTCCTCCGCCGAACAGATGCTCAGCGGTTCTGGTGAGAGCAGATCTTCCCGAGGAGGCCTGGAGGAGGAGCGGTTCGGTCACAGAGGAGCGGCGCCATCTGCAGGCCGTTCGGCTGAAGGCCGGGAGGCCCAACCGGAGGAGGGCGAAGAGGAGAGGGGGCGGCGTGGGGCTCCACAGGCTGTGCCGCAGGCTGGTCCGGGCCGGACTCAGAGAGTGAATATCACGGAGGGTCAAAGTTGGCAATATTACACAGATTGACGCCATATCAGGTCTTCTTTCATTTAAGTACAACTCCCCACAAAAGTCTGTTTCAATTAATCCTTACAATATAATACTGTCAAGAAACGTAAACAGGGCAAAGGGAAGTAAAAAAAGGGTTATTGATAAAATACTTTAAAAAAGCTACGTTGTAATAAAATGTTGCCATGTATGACTTTAATATTAGTTCCCGCTGGCTAATGGAATAATCTCCTGACCCTGAGTACAACTGAGGTCCTCTTAAGGGGAACAGTTGCCTCTGTGCTTTCTTGTTAGCTTGTTGAAAATATCTCACCAAACACTGGATTAATTGTCGTGAGATTTATTACTGATATTCATGGTCTTCAGTGGATAAATCCTTCTGATTTTGATCATCCACTAACTTTTCCTCCTGTGGAAGATACGTCAATAATGGTTGGACGGCCTGGACATTACCATCGGCCTCAGTCTTACTTTGTATTCATGTGCGAGTTAGCAAATGTTAGCATGCTAACAAGCAAAACCCAAATGGTTAGCATGGTAAACAGCACTCGCTGAACATTAGCACGTTAGCTTTGTCATTGTCAGCATGTTGACATTAGCGTTTTTCAAAGCGTCTCATGGCTTTAACCTAAAAACGACTGCACGTCAAAATGTCTCCTACGAAACAGTCCTTCACCTTTTACCTGATGACTCTACCAACCTCTTTAAAGCAGAACTACATCAGTAGTCTCCACTCTTAAAAGCTAGATTTGTGAATATTTGTGGCCTATTGTGTTCTATGAGTTGTAGATAAATGAAAACTGTGTTTTTAGCAAAGCTAATTAGGAATAACAATTATTATTATTAAGTTTCCTGTACATAAGCCACTTAGTGAAATATGTAGTTTATGATGAGAGAAGAAACTGTGCACAGTTGGATATTTTGGGATTTTGCAATCCGGCTGAGAGTATATCTGTATGCTAAATATTAGCTACAGCAGGTTAGCTTAGCTCAACACAATGCCATTTTACAAGGAAACTGCTAGCGTCGCTAAATAGTAACTCTTTTAACGCATATGATGTCTGTGCAGTAATATGAAGCTCGCCAGTTAGCCTAGCTTAGCGTAAAGACTGGGAGGGGGCAAAAATCTTTCTTTCTACAGTTTAGGGTAAGGATTATGTGTGATGTCGGCACTGTACATGAAGCTAGCTGGTTAGCCTTGTTTAGTATAAAGACGGATAGAAACAGCTATGATTAAAATAAACATTTTACAGGTGTTTCATTATTTATTGTGTTGGTGATATTTGATGAAATAAAACTAACACACTGTACATTTAAATTGTAAACTGAACATTTCCTGCACTGTGTTATTTGTATTGTTATCCATTGTCTCATTGTCTTATTGTCCAATACTTTGCACCACCCGCCATAAATTCATTGTATGTCTAACATACATTGGCAATAAATGTTAATGTTCCTGATATTGATTCCTGGTTAAAAAAAACAACTGTGTTAACCAACTGATAAGTATGAGGATCAAGACCTGTGATGAGGACCTCTGATGAGGACCTGTAGTGAGGACCTGTGATGAGGACCTGTAGTGGGGACCTGTGATGAGTACCTGTGATGAGGATCTGTAGTGAGGACCTGTGATGAGGACCGGTGATGGGGACCTGTAAGGACCTGTCATGAGGACCTGTATTGAGGACCTGTAATGAGGACCTCTCAGGAGGATCTGTACTGAGGACCTCTGATGAGGACCTGTAATGATCTGCCTGGCATGAGGACCTGTATTGAGGACCTGTGATGAGGACCTGTAATGAGGACCTGTATTGAGGACCTGTGATGAGGACCTGTAATGAGGACCTGTAAAGACCTGTCATGAGGACCTGTGATGAGGACCTGTAATGAGGACCTGTAAAGACCTGTCATGAGAACCTGTATTGAGGACTTGTATTAAGGACCTGTGATGAGAACCTGTAAGGACCTGTGATGAGGACCTGTATTGAGGACCTCTGATGAGGATCTGTGATGAGGACCTGACATGAGGACCTGTCATGAGGACCTGTATTGAGGACCTGTGATGAGGACTTGTGATGAGGACCTGTGATGAGGACTTGTGATGAGGACTTGTGATGAGGACCTGTGATGAGGAATTGTGATGAGGACCTGTCATGAGGACCTGTATTGAGGACCTGACATGAGGACTTGTGATGAGGACCTGACATGAGGACCTGTCATGAGGACCTGTATTGAGGACCTGTGATGAGGACTTGTGATGAGGACCTGTGATGAGGACTTGTGATGAGGACTTGTGATGAGGACCTGTGACGAGGACTTGTGATGAGGACCTGTATTGAGGACCTGACATGAGGACCTGTATTGAGGACCTGACATGAGGACTTGTGATGAGGACCTGTCATGAGGACCTGTATTGAGGACCTGTCATGAGGACCTCTGATGAGGACCTGTGATGAGGACTTGTGATGAGGACTTGTGATGAGGACCTGACATGAGGACTTGTGATGAGGACTTGTGATGAGGACCTGTATTGAGGACCTGACATGAGGACTTGTGATGAGGACCTGTCATGAGGACCTGTCAGGTAACACAACTCCCCTGTGATGTCATCCGGGTAATTGAAACCTTGCTGCAGGCTGGCCGTGGAGCAGACCGGATCCCCGCCTCCCTCACCGGACAGAGAAGCCGCTCCGGGGAGAAGCTTGGCTGCGGGAACATGGCGCACTTACTCTGGATCAACTTCCCCCGGGAGAAAGTCCGGAGGGTCGCTCCGTAGCACACCAGCCCCCCACCGTATCGATTAAGTGAAACAAAAATAAGTGAAGTGATCGGCTGCTCGGAGCGCAGCTTTTCCTTCGTTCTTCTGGATGTGTTTTCCGGTCCCGTCCTCACCGGGAGGAGAGTCCGCCGATGCCGGATCAGCCGATAGAAAGATGGAAAAACAACGGCGAGAAAGAGAAGGTAAAAGCGCAGAGAAGGACGACGC